TTAACGAGCACTCCGTCACGCAAGGTGAACAATGCAAAAGTGAAGCATTAAACCTTGCCAAGAATGTATGAAGTCACGATTTCATGTGCTTGAGGTATAGTTTTAGGTCATTTCTGACGCCAAATCAACAGTTTCCATATTTTCCCATTATGCTTTTATGACACTAAGTGCATTACGGATTTGCATCATTTTATAACCAACAACCGTGCAGTCTGCAGAGGTTAACTTAAGACGTCATAGTTAAGTGACCTGACATGAAAACGTGGTTGATTTCAAATGATCCGGCTTGAATCAAATGTCAGGCATATGAAATGTCAGCCTTCTATCATCAGTGTGCTTTGAGCTACCGCAAAAAAATACATGGTGGCGGCATCCACCCCTTCTTCTCGGCCCGCGAAGGTTAAACCTCGCTTCGAATTATTGCAGATAATGATGCGACCGAAAACAAAGCATTTATCTACGTCTAGAACGGCCGCCGACTTGTTGGACAAGATCCCCAATCTTAATTTGAAAGATGAGAATAAAATCTGATGCATATATACCCCTCGATTTGCCCTCGCGCTAAGTCAATTCTAATCATCACTGTCGCTTTATTATCCGAGATGATGTCGCCGCTAAACGGGTTGTTTTGTTTGCTTGCTTGCGCTGAATGATCATTACGGATTATTGAAGGATTATGATATAATAGGAATGGGGCAATGGAGGATATGCACTGCAGTGCAGGTGTTTGATTTAGATCACAAAGGCATCATTTCCGGCATCGTGCAGAGTCACTATCTTCCCCTCCCGCACTGCGGCATCCCTGCGCCCCACACACGGCGTCCTCACTCCACGGCCGGCCGCCGCCAACTGACCCACTGACCCACTCGCCGGGCGCCGCGACCTGACCCGTGTCACTGCCGCGGCCTGCGCAATAGAGTCGGGGCTGGAATCCGGGGGTTCGGCCGGCCGGCCGCCTCTGGAGCGGGGGACTTTTTTAGTAGACCTACTGTACGTGTTGCATTTAGCTCGCTTTGTTTGAATGTGCGTTGTTTATAGAAAAATGTGGCTTGGTATACAGATTCGATGTTGGTGCCGACGAAACTTTTCGACCAACGAGGCATCCGTACGGATATGGTTACTGTAATCTGGTATTTTCCCGACTTGTTACGCCAAAAGTCAGCAAATCCTTTTTTCGTAATTATCAGAAGAGTTTCAGCAATATTATATTTTTTTCCAGCTGCCACTTCCCTATATGCAATAAGTTTACACTACCGTCTGCCCCCCCCCCTTCCCAGGTGGGACTGGCCAGTCCGTTCAGGAGCAAGTTCAGGAAGCCTTCTTGCGGCGGCAGCATCATCAACCACAAGTTCATCCTGACTGCAGCTCACTGCACGACCAGGTAAATGTCATCTACCTTTATGCGCCTCCATAACGCATTTCACTATCGCTACAGTCGTTTATTTTAGATACATCACAGAGTGGGAATGGCAAGACGATTTATGGGATGTTTGTCGGAAGTACCTAATTTTGCTCATTTCTCCGTTCTAGGTGTGATGCGTGGAAAATTGTTTATATATCTTTCCTAACGCAATGTTATCCTAAAGTGCGTTTCATACTTGAGGAATGGGCTGACGATTTGAAAATATTCTCCGGCAGACGTGGCAAGCCGAGGCCGGCAGTGTCCACGGTGGTGCTGATCCGGAAGCACACGACCTCGACCGACCCCGAGGAGATCGAGTTCAAGGTCAAACGGATTATCGTGCACCCAGGGTACAGCAGCAGCACACTCAACAACGATATGTCATTGCTCGAGTGAGTGAAGGCGGTGGCGTAAATAGCGACTGAACGGAGCATGTCGATGTGATTTAAGTACCATAAACAGTAACAGATGAATAGTTAGATAACGCTATTCTATATTGAAACTCTGTGCCTATACAACCGTATAAAATATGTCGTTTTCTTTATGGGTGCGTTTACCCGTTATATTTGATGGGCGCTTTTATTCACCATGGATATCTGTACTCTGTGAAGACGGCACTCATTTTCCGTTGTCCGAGTCTCCATCAGCTCATGTAACGCTATCACTCCATCCACATTTCCGCTTTTCTTCTTAGACTGGATATATATCTGCAGAAGTAGGGGAGAGTGGGGCAAAGCGGCCACCCGGGGCAAAGCGGCCACCCATCGTTTTAGCCCTTCATAGCTGGCGTCAGTTCCAATTTATGGTTTCCAATTATGCTTCTCTTCACGGTCGTTCGAATGAGCCAGACCGGGGTTTCAGGCCCATCACCATTGTTCTGTGAAACACGGAAAAGCATTTCTTGCCAGGTTACCAACTATGTTTACAATTTTTAAATGTTAGGTTTTTCCATAACCGTTTGGAATTTTTATAAGCGTTCTTGTCCATGCATTACATGGTTATCGTACATGTATTCTACCAATTTTATTTTTTTTTTACCCCACTTATAGCAAAGCTGGAATGTTTTTGTCTCGGACGGTATGCGTGGGGCAAAGTGGCCGGGGCAAAGTGGCCACCCCCCAATTGGCCATAAGTTGCTTCCATCTGGATTAAAAACATTATTTATATTCAAATTTGTCGTCATGCATTCATCTTGGCGACTTTCAGTTGCATGAGTTACCAAATAATGCAATTAAATGTTTATTTTCATGAAAATCCTTTCTTTGTTTACCTACAGGTGGAAGATGATAAAGCAAACATCCATCCTCGCTTAACCTTGTCACCATCAAATACCCTAGTCGTACACGAGGCAACTATTTTGTTTCTCATATCGGGACTTGAGAAGACGCCGGTGGCCGCTTTGCCCCAAGGTATGGGGCAAAGTGGCCAATATGCATAGGTTTAAAGTTTTGTCAATATCTTTCATATGTGAACGCCTTTGGAAATAAAACGCAGTTGAAATAAAAGGCAACTTAATAGGGATCACATTGGTATAGAAAGAATTTTTCCAAGTTTAAAAATCAAGCGTTGGCATCGTGAGAAGCGTTAGGGTGGCCGCTTTGCCCCACTCTCCCCTACCTAAATATGTGCCCCTGTAGCCATAACCATCATTTCATGATCCTCACACTGAACTGGAGAAGTCCCCGCAGCTGCTGTACCACTGCCTCTAACCACCCCTCATCACCCCCAGGCTGAAGGAGTCTCTGCAGCCGCTGTACCCCTGTCTCTAACCACCCCTCCATCACCCCCAGACTGGAGGAGTCTCTGCAGCCGCTCTTTGACGCCGAGGACGGCCGGGTGCGTCCGATCTGCCTGCCGGAGACGCCGTGCTCCGGCAGCCGCACCAGTTCGGCCTGTTTCCCTGATCGGACGGCCGTGCTGGCCGGATGGGGGGTGAAGCGCGCCGGCAGCCCCGAGCGGCCGCCCGTGGTGCACTATGTGCACGTTCCAGTGGTGGATAATGATAAGTGTGTGTCCAACTATGAGTCTCTCGGTCTGACGGTGACCGATCAGATGATCTGCGCAGGACTGGAGGCTGGCGGAAAGGATACCTGTCAGGTAAGGAGAAGGATTCCTGTCAAAAGCGCAGAGGGCTTTTACGGATGAGGGAAGGGAGTGATGGGTGGGGAAGGAGGACACAGGTATAGTGAGGATGTGGAGCGATGTCTGTAAAGGGAGGAATTCAGCGGGAAAGGACGGGAAAGGGGATGAAGAATCAGCCATCTGAAAATAGGTCTTGCTGGGATTCCGCACTCGATACCAGCGAGCAATGTAAGATAAGTGCCAGGGAAGCGGAAATCTGTTCCCGTTCGATTCTGATGGCCTTCCGCGGGCTTGTCTTGTTCTATGCTCCCAGGTCAGCAGAGCCCGTTGTATCCTTGTTCTGATCGTCCGTACTGATCGTGTTGCGCTCCCCACAGGGTGACAGCGGCGGTCCGATGATGATGAAGTCCAGGGAGGAGGTGTTCACTCTGGCCGGAGTGGTCAGCTTCGGAAAGGGCTGCGCAGAGGCCGGCTATCCGGGAGTCTACGCCCGCGTCTCAGGTTAGTAGGACGCCGGCCACGAGGCCAACACAAGGTTTCATTCATTCAGTAATTATGAATCAACAATAACGATGATTGATGGTCGCTACTCTTCTAAGTCTTCACTTTCCTCCTAAGCATTGTTTGTCATATCGCCGACGTTTGCTATTCAACAGAGCTCCGCTTAAAGGTCGGTGTCAGTTGACTCTAGCGCGCCTTCCTCGTGTTGACTAGTAATGTGCTCTCCTTCCAGAGTTCCAAGACTGGATCGAAGCGAACGCCGGTAATGTCGGCAGAGCTCTGGAATAACAGAGCAGCACCCATCCAGATCCAGAGACCGTATCGCCTTGAATCTTGATAGCCGCGGCCAGGAATCGCAACTGTCTACATAGTGCAGTTTATAGACAGCTGACCTCGCCTATTTTCGGAGCGTATTGGTGTCAGTATACCATCCAGTTCGCGTGCTCAGTTTAGCGAGCATTGCAGTATGCAATGTGCTCGTTGCCATGGTGATAGGAAACAATGCACGAGCTCCTGCCCTTAGAGAACGGCCTGCGTGAGCTGTGGGACCCTGAAGGTCCACTGCTTAGCTGCCTTGCGATGTTTGCCGGTAGGGCAATGGCATTACGTAGTAGGAATTGTGGCCTTAATCCGTAAATTATAGCATTTCATGGTTCGTATTAGTGCTGCATTGGTAGGCGAACAGGATGTCCGGATCGACCGAAGCTGATCTGGACAGATCCATATTGACATACGTCAATGTCGATGTGAAATAAAATATACAAAACCGTAAAATGGATTATGACATCAACGATATGCAACCGACCTCTCACATACGAGTACATCATCAGATGTTTTTCTCAAGACCGCCATCCACCACCAAAAACATATTTTCACCCATCCGCCCCCCCCCCCCCAATGAAAGCTCCCAGACAAATCCACTGCGCTGCTCTATCCTTTGTAGAGGACGAACAGCAAACATTCATACAGTACAATATCGTGACGCTCTGTAGAGAGATAACCGAATAACAATACATTTAAAACATATTGTCATTTATTCGCACATGAAATGATCATAAAAAGGCAACAAACAAAAATGATACAACAGCGGAACTGCGATAAAACTTACGGAGCGCTCGAGTCATTCAATCATAGTACACCCCTTTCAGACGGTCACATGAACTCTGCCAGTCACAGTACAGCCCTCAGCAGACTGCGTGGTAGGTATTCTTTTTTCGACAAAACCGATAATAACTCAGAGGCTATGCTATCAGTCGGTCAGAACTCACTGCAAATAGATGCGCCATGCTCCACTCCTTCGATTAGGTGTATCACTAAACAAAGTATACGCCTTGTGTGGCAACAAAATGCAAAAGTTTGTTTTGGGGGCAAATATAAACTTTTGGATTTTGTTGCCGAACTAGCAGGAAAATGAATACGGTGATGATGCCAATCTAAGGTGCGGTGTCTCGCGTGTCTTCCTGTTACGATTTGCGAATGACCGATAGCATAGTATTCGCATTATTCTCGTTTTTGTCGAAAAAAGAATACCTACCACGCAGTTTGCAGAGGGCTGTACATCTTCGACATTCACAGGACCCTTCCACAGTCGCAGGATCCGGCCTCATACTGTCACAGTTCCACCCCCAAAGACCAGACACTCGGGCTCGCCGCCGAGCCGGGCCGGCCGCTCAGGAATGTGAACAGTGCGAGCCGGCGGGCACCCCTGCACAGTGGCTATAGCTGCTCTCTCTCAGATCAATATATCACAGAAGGGAAGACCTTACAGCGCGGCGCGGTGCGGCCAGGCGCGGCCGGAGGGTGTGCTGGGTGTCCAGGGTGTTAGACGGTCCAAGTGGATATACAGCGGCTCGGCAGGCCTTCAGGCAGTGGCCTTACCTCTATCCCACCAGCTAGAAGGCTAGATAGCTGGCTGTGGTAGCCCAGACACACAGCCGATCGTCTCTGACTGCACCGCCACCGACAGTTTCACCGAACGGCCTCACAAATACAGCGCAGCTCACTAACATAGTGTGACGTCACAGTCGCACAATAGCGCAGGTCCTGGCAGCTCAGCTCACTACGACGGCGACACGGTGTGACGTCAGTATGACGTCATCAGAGACGTTAGAACATTTAACACAACCAGTCTGCGGCAGTTACTAAGACAGCACAATTATGCACCTGATACCGTCTGCCTCCCACTCTGGTAGGCGGTCAGTGCTGGCCTGTCTCAGCAGTCGGTTCTCGGCCTCCTGTTTGGCCGTGAGGTTCTCCAGTTCTGCGGCGCGGGCTCGCAGCTGGGCCAGCCTCTCGCCAGCCAGGCGGTCAGTTGCAGGTAAATTCACCATCAGTTCAACATTTATAACCACGCGGCCATGACGTGCCTGACGTTGGGGCCTCCTAGTCCTATGTGGGGTAGATCCACGGTGAGAACGACTGAATAGCGCCCAAGAGAGGGGCGATCCGATCGGATTCCGCCACCGGACGGCGACGGCAGGCGGCAAAATCAGAAGAGAGATAATTCAACGCAGGAACACCAGCAAGGCAGCTAAACACCAGCAGTGGGGCGGCTACACCAGCTGTATCTAGCCGTTAGGAGCCGGAAGCACAGAGCATGCATGGTAAGTCCCGCAGCTGCAGTGTCCTATACTGTAGTGTAGAGAGGACCAGCGGCCGCCCGGCACCGACCACCGTCCGCCAGCTCTGTCTGTACGGCCTCTCGGCTGGAGAGGTCTCAGACCAGAGTATTGTCCACCATTAGTCCTCAGAAAAGGCCCGCCAGTAGTCCTTGTCTCAGACTAGAGCCTTGTCCGACAGAAGTCCGCAGACAGGGGGTCTACGGACGCACCCATTTATCGGTAAGGAGTAGGACACCGACTTCTTGGCTCCCTTAGTTGAGTACCGCACCGATATTGGTGGTCGCCCACAGTCCATCGACAGAGTTCCAAACTGACCATCGCACTGACCACTCCTACTTTTACCACCGGTCGCCACCAGTATCTGCTCTACCTTTGGACACCTGGCCGGTCACAGCTGGGCACCAGGCCACCTTCATCGTCCCCGAGTCTAGGCTTTCCCCGCCGCAGTGCCCCTCGACTTACCAGTCTACACACACGAGCGGGTCGTCTGTCCCTTGGCAGCGTGTATCACCACATACCGGCTCACCCGAGCCGTTTCAATCCGCTGGTTCTTAGCGGTCTCAGGCCGGTGGCTGGAAGTTGGCGTCCGTCTCCACGCCGTGCGCGAAGATGAGCACCAGGCCGGGCTCGAGGATCATGTCTTCGTTCATGTGCTGGTTCTCACATGCCATCACGATGACGGCCTGCTTACCGGGAATGCGGCGGCATACGTAGTTCTCGTAGTGACGCCGGTTCGCCTGGCGCGTCTCCAGTGTAGACAGACCTGAAACGGGAGACACACACGTGGTGGGTTAGTAATTTAAAGGAATCTCCTGGAGACGGGTGGACGATGGCTAGGCGGTATCGCAGGCGAGAAAGGCGAATGATGTGCACTCTTCAATGTTATAAATGAAAACACCTCAGCGTTTTATCGTAACACTACAGTGTGAGCGCAGAACAATGTTACTGATATGTCATCAGCAGCCAGCAGTGTAGTACACCCTGACTGGCGCTTTGTGAGCACCTCTAGCGGCCTGGAGCCGTCCATCGGCCATCACCCTTCCCTCTCCAGGGAGAGGAAAATAGATAGAAAGCGGAATACTGAGAGGAAGAGGAAGAGGAAGGGGGAAAGAAAGAGGAAGGGGGAAAGGAAGAGGGAGAAACAGAGAAGAGGAAAGCTGGGAGGGAGAGGAAGCTCAAAGGAAAAAGGAGAAAAGAGTGAGGAAGCGAGAGATTGGAGAGGATATGGCGAAATAGTCTCACCGGTGGGCCAGCGTCGCTCGTGCGAGTTGTCCATCAGGTCCTCGATAATGTGTGGCGGAGAGCCGGACTCGCACAGCGCCCGCTGGATCACCACCTGAAAGGTACACATAGGTTATAAACACATAGGCAGCACAGACATAGGTAAACTTGAATAGTGAGACACAGACACAGTCCGTTGGATTACAACGTGGATAATGAATCGTAATTATAAGTGATAAAAAGTCTTAGTACCTAGAAGTATCAACCATCAGGCCAATTTAGGCGCTTCCCAATCGTGAATATTACATAAGAAGTCAGAACGATTTACACTAACAGCTCTAGGCACTAACCACTATATTGATTGAATGTTGTACTGCCACTGCCGCAAAATTGACAGGAGCCTAACTGCGATCAGGTTATGGCCTCCTGTTCCTTATCACACCCAGCAGAGTGACAAGTAGTCCCCACCGTCCCGCTCCGGTGCCCGTTCCGTACCTTAAGGACGGCGTCTGGTGTGGAGATCATGCCTCCCCAGCGGGTGACCCGGGCGCGCGGGAGAGAAGCCGACCACCGGACCACCTCATCCTGCTCCATTCGGTCGGCCAGGGTACGCATACGCGGGTCGCTGCCCCGCATCGCGTGCATAAACTCCTGCCGAGCGGGAAGGGAGGAGTGTCCAGTGTCAGCAATACCACAAAGGGGAAAGAGATTGTAATGGTAACAAAGCGGAATGAAAATTGCGGTAGCGCACACGGCAGAAGCACTATGAGATGAGAAAATGCAACAACGTATGAAATAATAGTAACATAATCGAATAGAAATAACAACGCACTGACACCACAGGGAGTAGTAAAGTAATCTTGACCACAGGAACATCACATGACAATGAATGGAAAAGTCCCGCAAGCCTCGGAGATGATCGGAAGAACGCAACAGCACATTCAAACAGAAACGCCAATGGTTAAACTGCAACAGCAGACAGAAGAATAACTTCGCCATGGAGACTGCAACCAGCCTTTACAGCAATAACAAAACTATGGCGACTGCAGTCATGTCTTTCACAACAATAACACAAGCATAGGGACTGCAATGGCCAACAAAACAATAACGCAGGCATAGAGACTGCAATAGCCCGTACAATAGCACAGCCATAGGGACAGCAATGGCCCACACAAGAACACAGGCATGAAAACTGCAAAGAGCATACGGACTGCAGCAGCCCACACAAGAACACAGGCATGGATACTGCAATGGCCTACACAACAAGAGCACAGGTATGGGGACTACAATAGCCCGCACAACAAGAACACAGGCTTGGAGACTAAAAGTCCACACAACAATAGCACAAGCATAGGAATTGCAAAAGCCCACACAACAATCACACGAGCATGGGGACTGCAACAGTATACAATAAAGAATCACCACTGCATGGAATCTCCAATAGCTCATACAACACCATGAGATAGAAAAGTTCGCATGAAAGACAACAGCAGCATCCAGGGATGGATACCGCAAAAAACAACACAACAGGTTGAAAACCAGTATAACCGCCTTATGGGGCGATTAACGGAGCGAGCGAGAGGGTGGGCCTTGCACGTGCGAAATTGCGAAGGGGTACCTCCAACTGACTTGTGCATGGCACCCTACTAACCGGCCTCTAGCGATGTGCCAAATTTGGGCACAATCGGCCCAGCCGTTCTCGAGATCTGGAAGCGGCACCCTGCACGTGCGCACGTGCAAAATGGGTCCCAACTGACTTGTGCACGGCACCCTACTTACCGGTCCCTAACTGTGTACCAAATTTGAGGGTAATTGGTCGAGCCGTTCTCGAGATCTGGAAACGACCCCTGCACGTGCGCACGTGCAGCAGCGCCCCAACTCTGGCACATGGATATGCAGTGCCTAGTGGGTGCCTACCTACATGCCAACTTTCAGCGCAATCGGCCAAGTAGTTACCGAGATATTGCAACAATTACAAAACGGACACCTCTTCGTTTTGCACGTGGCACGTGCATAAGGGGTCACCCACATGCATCAGGAATAGTCCAATACTTGGTAGAAGGAATGAAGCTACCCTACAAAAATTACCGCGTGTAAATCGGTCAAGTGGTTGCTGAGATATAAGCCTCGCAAAAGCGTGACCACGGCCGGCCGGCCGTCCGGCCGGCCGGCCGCTCATACTCAGAAATTTCCGTTAATCTAAGGAAAGACTACGCTCGCTTCGCTCGCTCCGTAATCACAACGATAGATACCTCACCAAATGACAAGGGCGGACACCTACTCCCCAAAATTACTGTTCCCGTCCGTGGTCCCAGCGCATCCCACCTTGACGAGGTTGAGCTCGCGGTTGAGCTGGCCGATCTGGAACTTGTTGTCAGCCAGCTCCTGCTGCAGGGTGGCCACAGTCTCGTTCTGTCGCTCCACAAGCGCCCGCAGCTCGCGCACACAGTTGTGCTCCTGGTGGGGGCAAGGTGCGAGAGTCTGAGGTCAGATCGATGAGTTGTGGGTCAAATTAAATGAAAAATAAGGTTTAATGGCAAATCAAAGGTCATCATAAGTCAGGTCACCGCTCAGGACACTAGTCATTAGATTCAGGATCAGGTCAAATGCAGTCGTGAGACGAGCGGCCAGAGGTAAGATCACCTGCCATCATCAGCGAAGTCATGCATCAAGTCACGTTCAGCTTTGATAAACCGCTGTGATCCATACCGACCCATCAATCGTCACGCCCCCTGCCCGAGCCGGTTCCTACCTTGACCTCGTCCATGGGCACGACCATGCCGCAGCCCTGTTCGCACTGGACGGGCCGCTTGGGGTTGTGTTCGCACTCCTTGAGGTGGCTCTCCAGCCGATCGAGGTTGATGACCACCGTGCAGCCGTATTGCTGGTTGTCGCACACAATCAGGAGCCTGGAGGAGACGGCAGATCAGATCAGTCAGCGGAGACAGCAGGTTAGCACGGGTCAGTCGTCATGAAAAAGACTCGTAGCAGTCGGTTTACCAAGGTCCAAGAATGGGTAGTTCAGCACTTAAGTAGTTCAGGGTACTAAGTTCAGTTCTGGGCAGTGTTCTGGGCAGTTCAACTGGGTAGCTTCAGCCCTGAAGTACCACGAAACACCAGCATACCCGCCCCCAGTCATATACATAGAAATCAAAGGGCAGCCCGACGACCCTCCCGCCGATCGGGGGGCCAGCGGGAGGCTGTCAGCCGCTCCTGAGAATACGGTAGCCGCTCACCAGGGGTCAAAAGATAACAGTCAACCGCTCAGCGTGGCTTCACACCACCACGCTAGTCTCACCTGGCGAGCAGGTTCCGCAGTATGCGCGGCACCGGTTTCAGCTGGGCGGCCGTGATCTCCTGCCGGTCCACGGGACAAATCTGCTGCCGTGACAACCACTCTGTGATACAGCCGCGGCAGAAGGCGTGCTCGCATGCCGGAGCCTGAGAGAGGGAGACAGGGGGTCAGAGGGTAGAGGTGGGGGCTGAGCGGCACAGTGGGGCGAACTCATTCCGCGGCGACGAAATCCAAAAGGTTCATAAGTAATTTGTTCAGCAATAGCTGACACAATTTCACAATAAATAATGGTAATCAGCATGCAAATGCTGAAAAAATTGCAAATACTCCGGTAGCCTAGGCAGTAGGCACCGTAAAAATCATGCAACTTCAGTTATTTAACTATTTCTTCCACGACATGGACTATTACTCTTCCTTCACTATTTCCCGACCAAACTTTCAACAGTTGACATGTTCTCTTGTCTGAATAAGCAGATTCTACAGGCGTCCTACCTGGACGGGGTCCTCGAGGACCGACGAACAGATGGGACAGATGAGCTCCTCATCCACCGGCCCCTCGAACCGGTTACTGTCGATACCCATCACTGAGGCTGTGACCAGCCGCTGGAACAATGAATGTAAGGGATGGTGGTAAGAGCGCAAGGCAGCACATGTAAAAATGAATTAGACATCAGCATCTAGTTTACGATAATGACAAAATATGTAGAATATTTTAAATTGTAACCCCTTTATTTCTAAGAACCTGATAATGTCTTTCACATGGCGAAGTACTTGTAGACAAGATGGTATCCTTCTCTAAATCTGATGGCAAAGGGTTCAAGGATGGAGAGCAGCATGACATTGAGCCACACACGTATCTGCAGGTGGCACGTCTTGTGTAGGTGTACACTTTCACAAGTATAGGTGCCGCTGGCAGCCGACGAGAGTGTCACACTAGATCTGGGGACTGGGAGTATATAAAGCGACGTTGAGCTGATTGCTTATCGCTTAAAATGAACGAACTGAAAACGCAGCGGACTAGGAGAGAGCCCTCAAGATTCCCTCTACACTCCTCTTCAGGCGTGCCCTGTGCACTGTGCAGTGTGCATTCCCGGTCGCTCTGAAGTGTGTTAACAGTTGTGCAGGCGTACGGCATGATATCGAAAAAGCAGACACCCAGCAACTGCAGGCACCGAAAGAATATCGCGGCCCGAAGAACAATATCGATGTGGTACTTCCGGACCCCCGACCCAGTCCCAGTGGTAAGAGCCCGGGTCTGTCATTAAATTCAGGCACCGAACATAAACCGTAACCCCATGCTGCAAAGTATGGCTAGCAGGTCAACGGGGAGTACCGGCGGCCGGCCCAAGTTCAAAATCCGCACCAACCCTTCAAACACAGCTGGAAAATGGACTGGGATTCTGAAAAAAACAGCATCGAACCCAAAAATGACGAGTCTAAATCCGCACTGACCTCAATTAATACATACTATGAGCCGCATGCCTACCATCTCCATAGTATGAAAATGGAAACGAGAAATACGCACCACATGAGAAAAGCAGGTGATGCCAATGCAAGAACCATGTTCAGTACCTGCCCCTGGCGATTCATCCAGGATGATTATTGTGCGATGTAACATGGTTAACCCAATAGTGTCGACGCTGCCACCTAGCTAAATGGCTAGGCAAACTTTTAAACTGACTTCGTCTGTAATTGGGCCACGGTTGCCCGTTGATGATATGCTGAATAAAATGAAAAATGAAAATGAAATAAAGCCCCACTTATAAAGATGAAAACATGAACGGCTAAATGAGGGGCCAACACCTCGCTTCAGGTACCTAACAACAATGTGAGCTCAACTGCCCGGGCGGTACGTTTTGTGTTGTAACAGTGCAATCCTGCAACCGGACACAGCCAAGAGCGTGGAAACGTGAGTTGGGCTGTATCATCCCTCTCCTGTCCCATGCCACCCCAAGCCTCAGGAGGGGGCGTGAACATACGTGTTTGTGAGTAGCATTAGCATCTGACTGGGGAGCCAATTTCAGTAATTAACCTGCGTGCCAGTGATTTCAGCTAACCTCTGCCTGGGTCACAGCGAGGGCTGACCCACATGATTGATGAGACCACCAGCACTGGCATATTCCATCCTGACTACAGCACACTCATTTAGAACAGACAACACACTGAATTACATGTCAACAGTCAAAGGCCAAAGCTCCAGCAATGTTTTTATATTCCTCAATCTCATCTATCTTGTCTGGTCTGCCATGTCTGTCAGTTACCAAGCCAACTCTGCAAATGCACCAGATCCACAGACCACAGCAGCTGAACAAGCCCACACCCACCAGATCTCATCCAAACTGCCATACTTTGCAGGCTGGGACATACCTTCAACTTGCAAGACTGCTGGCAGGGATGGTTGTAGTTGGTGACTACTGGCTGGTGGGAGCAGTCACCTGTCACGGCCACTTGAACTTTGAACTCAGCTGAAAGGGACAGAAAGTTACAGTGGTCATCAGCAACGATCAACATCATGTGTATCAACAATCAACATCAATACTTAAATTGCCCCACTGCAATGGAGAAATTCTGGCATCCATACCAGGCATCACTCTGGTTATGCTTCACTTACTTACTTAACTCAACTTACAAAGTACACACTTTGGATTCAAAGTACACACTTTGGATTGGTCATAGGCCTTTAGAAACCTTTCTAGTTGAGCTCCTCATGCGTCTGACTATTTGTATACGTGAGGGGTGTCATGTGCGAGACGTGCCCAGTGGGCGTAAAGCCAGAGCTATGTTCACCCCCCGTTTCTTTGTCAGCAGCCTGCGAGCATGCCGCTACTTCTTGGCCCTCATTGGTCGCATTCAAGTGGTTTATTCGTTAGACCAAGTCACCAATGATAGGCCAAGAAGCGCCAGTAATAACTTCCTTATATGGGGAAAACTGACAGCATGCTGATATAAGAACAGAGACCGAATAGAGCTCAGTTTTTGAAATTGTCACGGTGGTATCATTTATTGCACTGATCTGGTTTTGCCTGCTTGTATGTATTCCTTCTCGCACTGTCCTTTATCTATGTTCGCGCTAACATGTCCGCTGCACAACCGCATGTCATGCCTGCTGTCTTACCCCCTTGTGCATACATGCTTCCCCAACGCTCACATGTGCTCATCCGCATGACCGCATGCGCACTGCCCCTCGCTGGGAGCTGCATGTATTTCCGTCCTGACTGTCATTGACTGTTTGTCTGTTTGCAGGTGCATGTTGCTTAGTTCTTGTTTCTCGACAATATACTCAGTCTGAGCACTCGGGACTGTTGGTGCCTCTAGAAGTGTGATCAGCTGAAGGCTGATGGAACGTCACATAAACAAGAACTAGCTTATTAAACATGGACAACAGAATGAAGAAGGAGGCTGATGGGGGACAGGGAACTACGGCAGCCATCGACCAGGTGGTTATGAATCTGCCTATCCCAGCGCTGCAACCTGAGGAGAGGATAGAAGACTGGAAACCTCTCTTCAAAGCAGGAGTCAGCACCCTGCTGGCTAGAGGTCCTGAGGGGGAAGCACTCGCCATCGGCCTGCTGCCAGCATACATCAACCGTCGCACTGCAGAGCGTGAACTAGTGAGAGAAGTGTTGAGTGACTGCGATACGCTTGATGCAGCTTTTGATGTTCTGGTCAGTACGCTAGACCCACCGGTTGATAAGTATCAGTACATGCAGGAGATGTGTCGCCTAGACTGGGTACCAGGTGTACAGGTTGATGATTTTTTCTTTCAACTGAAACGTTTGGGTGTGAAAGCTGCTGCTGATCTTGGTTTTGTGTGTTCACTGTTTGTGTCTCAGCTTCCGAAAGAAGTACAGTCAAAAGCAAAGACTTGGCTGGCAGATTGCCAACAACTCAGTGACTCATCGTTACGGGCATTCATCAAAGATGTCAAGACCTGGCTGGTGGAAAGAGGATTGCCGCTAGATAGGGGGTCGAGACAGTTTGTAGGAGCAGTCAGGCTTTGCGAAACCACAGAGGCAGGGGCAGGCGCGCCAGTTCCTGAGCAGAGTGCTCAGGTGATGTGTGACCTTCGCACGGCAACAGATGCTGATGACGGTGATGGGAAGTCTCCTAAGGTCTATGCTGTACAGGGAAGGGAAAGGAAGAAAGGGAAAGGGGCATTGTGCTACCTATGTAACTCACCTGACCATCTCATGTTCAAATGTCCGTCACGACACTGTGCCAAATGTGGCAAAAAGGGACACAGTGCCAAGGATTGTAGATCAGGGCATAAGGTATATCGCGTGGAGGGCAGTGACAGAGAAGGGGATGAACATGCCGTGACACTGAACGTGAGTTTTGATGGCGCGCGCGTCGCTGCACTCCTCGATTCTGGTGCATCTATGTCAGTGATCGATGAGCGTTCTGTGCGAGATGCCCGGCTGGGAGGCAAGGTTGAGTATAGCAATGATCTAGATTCTGTGTCAGGAGTAGGTGGAAAAGTCACGGTTCTAGGAACTATCTCTGTGAACATCGATGTTGGCGATGGTCAAATGGTGCGTCACTCTCTGAAAGTGCTCAGCGGGGATGAATCGGTCGTCATCCTTGGTCGAGATTTCCTCTCCCGATTCCCCTCTACCGAGTTCGATTGGCGGAAAGGTCGCATCCGGCTCGGGAGTGTATGGAAGACGCCTGACGTCATGCTGAGCGGAGGTCGACAGGACGGTCGAGCTGCAGTCGCAGTGCTGGAGGGAATGGTGTCTCCGTCTGCGTCAGAACTGCGGTCCCGGATCAACCCAGCTCTCGAACCAGGAGTGAAAGAGAGGGTCTTCAATGTTCTCTGGGAATCACGAAGCGTCTTCGCCGTTAACCCCAAGAAGCCTACTCAGACGACATTGGCTGAACACAACATAGAGACTGGGGATGCAAGGCCTGTGAAACAGAAATCGTCGCGGATGTCACCAGAGATGTAAGATGAAGTCAACAAACAGCTGAAAGAGATGCTGGACAACGACATCTGTCGACCCTCAAACTCGCCGTGGAGTAGCCGTGTCATCCTGGTGAGGAAAAAAGACTCTTCGTACCGATTTGTAGTAGACTACAGGGATCTGAACAAGGCGACCAAAAAGGATGCCTATCCAGCAGCGAACTGGCAAGACATCCTAGACAAGATGGCTGGAAGTCGGGTGTTCTCGTTCCTGGACGGAGCAAGTGCGTACTGGTCGGTCCCGATTCGCGAGGAAGACAAAGAAAAGACTGCGTTTGCTGTCCCGAAAGGGCAATTCGAGATGAATGTCATGGCTTTTGGCTTGTGCAACAGCCAAAGCACATATCAACGCGTCATCGACCAGGTGCTGTCTGGAATTCCGCAAGTAGAATGCTACATTGACGACGCCTGCGTTCATACACGAGATGTGGAGGACCACGTGACCTACCTCAAGAAGACACTGGATGCCTACAAGATGGCAAACATGCAACTACGGCTAGACAAGTGCCGCTTCGCCTATGAGAAGGGAGAGTTTGTGGGCCACGAAGTTAGTGGTGAAGGTTACCGCCCTCTGAAGTCTCACGTGTCAACGATCCAGAGCTACCCAAGACCCAGCTCCAAGAAAGAAGTGCAGAGATTTCTAGGCCTCGTGAATTTCTACCGTCACTTCATACCGAAGATGGGCTACATTGCAGCTCTGCTCTACCAGTTGACACACCAGGACTCCAAGTGGCTGTGGACAAAAGAGTGTGACATCAGTTTTGAGTCACTCAGAACCGCTCTGGTGAAAGCGCCGGTTCTGGCGTTCCCAAGGTGGGACAGACCGTTCTGGGTCGAAGTGGACGCGAGCGGTGTGAGTGTTGGTGGGATTTTGTCGCAAGAAACAGAAGACGGCGTACGAAGGCCGCTAGCCTACTTCTCATCGGGTCTAACAAGTGCTCAGCGTAACTACTCTGCGAGCGAGCTGGAGTGTTGGGCGCTAGTAGCGGCAGTGCGGAAATGGAGAACCTACCTGCAGGCCGCTACAAAAATCGTGATGGTCACGGACCACAACCCGCTAGTCTGGCTCCGGAGGCAGAAGGATCCCAGGCACAAGTTTGCAAGGTGGCTAATGGAGCTGGAATCCTACAACTATCAGATCGTGTATCGGAAGGGCACCGAAAATGCTGGAGCGGACTGTCTCAGCAGGATTAACCAACCCGTGGACCCACAGTTGAACGATGAAAGTGAGCACTTTGAGAGACACGTCTACAGGCTTACGAACACCGATTTGTTGAGCAGAGTGACAGTCTCGCAGAGAGAAGATCCAGTGACGGTGTTCGCAGCGTCACAGATGATTGCCAATGGCCAGATCACCAAAGGACGATATCGGCACTACCGAGACATGACGATGAGACATGGCGTCTTGATGAAAGGTCAGCGAGTGGTCGTACCCGGGAGCATCCAACGAGAAGTGGTGGAAGCGGTGCACAAGGCGGAACACCTGGGCGTGGAGAGGACTCTACAGAGAGTGAAGAGCCAGTTCTTCTCACTTGGGCTGCCAGCTTGTGTGCGTGCTGTGTGCGCTCAGTGTGCCGTATGTAGTGCCAATAAGAGGTCCTACCTGCCAGAGGTAGAGTTGCAGTCTTATGAAGTCGGGGATCTAGCTCCACGGAAGACGGTGGCCATGGACGTTGGCACCCTACCCTGGAGCGCATCAGGCTACCGGTATTTCTTGGTGGTGGTGGATCTTTTCTCAAGATACGCAGAATTCATACCCATGAAAGACCAGATGGCTGACACGGTGCTGCAGTCCCTGATGACGGGATGGGTATACAGTCATGGACTGCCTGAAATATTGGTCACTGATCAGGCAAGAAACATGGACGGTGAGGCAGTCAGGCGTTTCTGTTCAGATTACAATATCAAGAAACGTCGCTCGAGTCCTTACCATCCGGAGGGCAACGGACTGGCAGAGAGGTGCGTCCAATCTGCAAAGCAACTGCTCCGTTGCCTCCTCGCCGAAAGGAAGATGCAGACCACAGAGTGGCCACAAATTATGAAAGAAGTCACGTTCATCTTCAACTCGGCGAAGAATGCGTGTACCCAAGTGTCTCCGCACGAAGTCATGTACGGCGTTACCCTGAGACCACCGCAGAGTGTGTTGCACTCTGAGCCCGCGGCGTACGTCAGCCCCGAAGATCATGTGGATGAGCTGCAGGCTACTCGTCCCGACTCGTATCGCCGTGTATGGGAAAACAGCAAAAGGGCGAAGAACAGAACCAAGCAGTACTACGATCGGACTAGAGTATCGCCGCCTGAACGTGGAATACGGACAGGAGATAAAGTCATGGTCCGTATAGAAGAGCGTTGTGGGCTGGATCCTATGTACAGCGGTCCATACCTGGTGACAAGAATTGTCGACAGCAACGTTTTCGTGCTCATAGGGAGCTCAGAGAAGTGTGTGCACATGAACCGCGTCAAATCCGTGCCAGCAGCATTCGGTGGCGACGCTCATGTGACTGTACAGGACTGCTGCCCTCCGTCTCACGGCACCACTGGAGATCAGCCCGGACCATCTGAAGTTGCAGACGACACTGCCGCCCACACACCTGCGGACGAAGATGCGAGTGCCGTGCCTTATGATGCACAGGGCGCAGCCGAGGTCAGCCAGCGACCAAGCATCGAACCCGCTCCTGTTCCTGTCGCACAGATCCCGGACTCCGCGGATGATCCGTTGAACTTCCTCCCCGCTGTGTCTCGATCAGGCAGAGAGATACGGCGCAACCCGCGGTATGGTCCGTGATGTTATACCACACTTTCCCTCAGCGTCTGTATCACCGGTTCGTGAGTCCATTTTTTTTTTCGGGAAGGTGATGTCACGGTGGTATCATTTATTGCACTGATCTGGTTTTGCCTGCTTGTATGTATTCCTTCTCGCACTGTCCTTTATCTATGTTCGCGCTAACATGTCCGCTGCACAACCGCATGTCATGCCTGCTGTCTTACCCCCTTGTGCATACATGCTTCCCCAACGCTCACATGTGCTCATCCGCATGACCGCATGCGCACTGCCCCTCGCTGGGAGCTGCATGTATTTCCGTCCTGACTGTCATTGACTGTTTGTCTGTTTGCAGGTGCATGTTGCTTAGTTCTTGTTTCTCGACAATATACTCAGTCTGAGCACTCGGGACTGTTGGTGCCTTAGAAGTGTGATCAGCTGAAGGCTGATGGAACGTCACAAAATGGTTCAGGGTGTCGGAGATGACACCCTGAACATAAATAGGTGTTCGTTAAAAAGGTGCTGGTGCTTTATGTTGTTTTAAAGGCCTTATGCTTTATGTTTGGACTTTGGACTTGTGAGTTATATATTATTATCCCAGAGAATAATCCGAAGTGACTATACATAACGTGCTGGTGCTTGCCAAACTGATCAGTCGATTGTCAATTATGCTAAAATTACGAAAAAATAAATCGACCTCAGGACTGGGACCTGAAACTGAAACCACATGTACATTGACATGTCCAGCCACCATGCACATTGCACAATTCATTATTCACTTATGTCCTTGCTTGTCACTATGACCAAGCAAATGCTTAGGCAGGTATTCGACCAGATAAAAATAAGCAGGTAATACACAGAAATACAAATAGGACAAATTGAAAGGTATATGGAAAATAATTAAAATTCACTGTCAGCCAACCCTCTCTCCAAGGCCCTCCTCTCTCGAAAAATATTTTGATATATTCATGTGTCTGAATGCGTTGACAAAAGTGGTTTGTATGTCCACTGTTTATGTCTTGTTTTATTATTTCGCTTGCAGTTCACCTATTGAAAAAGCGCATTCGTTCATCTTCCCTGTTTAAAAAATCGACAATCCTTTCAAAGTATATAGGACTAATTTCCGATACTTTAGAAGCAAAACAACCTTTCAGGTGCCGCTCATCCCTTGATCATTTGCAAAACTGCAATATCTGCAATGGCCAACTTTGACAATTGCAGCATTTCGCAGCATCTATAGAACATGAACATCTAAAGGAAACATCAACAACGGCGCGGACAACAACAAATGGCAACGATCCGGAACCGGACGTACGGACGTTTGGACAAGAATGGACGTGAGCAGCTTGATTTCTAATTTGTTTTGAATTCAAGATAAAACCAGGCTTTTTAAAAACCCTCAAACAACAACACCAGCAGGCAGCAGGTGGGGTAGGGGATAGAATAGGCGTTGAACGTTGGTCCTTTTTGCTGTGCAACTAACAGCAAAACTGTGACTTGTGGGCAGTGGGCTAAGTGGGCAACTTTTGTGTTTAAAAAATACCTAGGCACGCATATATCAGTAGGTATCATCTTGATGGCCGATCTTAAACTTAGATCAACTTTGTCAATGTTCAAACTGACTTATACATATTTAAAGGACCAAAAGCCAGGGCTGCGGAGTCGGAGTCGGAGTCGGTCGAAGTCGACAGTTGTGACCGGAGTCGGAGTCGGAGTCGATTTTAGAAACCTGAGCCGGAGTCGGAGTCGGAGTCACCAAAAATCTGTCGACTCTGCCTCCCTGCTAGGTCTGCGGAGTCAGAGTCGGGAGTTGGAGTCAGTCGGAGTCGACAATTCTGCCCGGAGTCGGAGTCGGAGTCGGGGCTGGTTTTTGAAAGCTGGAGTCGGAGTCGGAGTCGCCGAAAATCCATCGACTCCGCAGCCCTGCCAAAAGCCATGCTCAAGCTTCACCCAACACCAAGTCAAAATATCTCATTTTGATTTCAAAGAGCTCAGCAAGACAATGTAGTTGGGTACCTACCTATTCCTTCACTGTGATCATTTTTGGTGGTGTTGGTGACAGTGAACCTTACGGGCTCCTTCAATGCCGAAAAATAATTGCAGGCACAGAGAGAGAAGAGGGAAAGAAGAGAGTGAGAAGAGAGAAGAGAGAGTGAGAAGAGAGAAGAGAGTGTGAGAAGAGAGAAGAGAGAGCGAGAAGAGAGAAGGAGAAGAGAGAGCGAGAAGAGAGCGAGAAGAGAGAAGAGAGAAGAGAGAGTGAGAGTGAGAGTGAGAGAGTCCTTACGGTATCGGGATTGGCTTATAGCCTGTCGTACCCGATCTCATCGAGCTCCTGGTATTTGGCTTGCCGAGGATCAATCGGAATCGGGAATGGTGTGTCGTAAGTGGGACCAGTGTGCATCCATCCTCGCCTTGAAGCAGTTGATCGATGGGGCGCAGACCACCTCAGCCGGGAGTCGGTTCCAGTTGTTCACGACCCGTAGAGCGAACGAGGATCGTCGCACTCTCGAGGTTGCCGGACATTTCCTGACTTTGTATGGATGCCCACGAGTAACTCCATCGGCCAGCGTGAAGAACGTTTCAGGGTCGGTATCGAGCCCTCCGTGAAACAGCTGGTACATGAATATCATGTCTCCTCTACGTCGTCTGTAGTAGAGTGAGCCGGCATCTTCAGCATTCGGAGCCGCTGCACGTAGGGTTCGTGACGGATGTTCTCAACCAGTCTGGTTGCCCTGCGCTGCACTCTCTCGATCAGTCGCTGGTCCGCTCTGTTAAACGGTCCCCACACGAGGTTGCCGTATTCTAGGTGCGGACGAACCAGAGTCTTGAAGAGAAGAGGCAGGGTGATCTACTGATCTCATTAATGAGGGAGAACGACCGCCTGATAACTGCGAGGAGCTGAGTTGCCTTTGCCGCTGCTGATGCAGCATGTTCACGGAACTTCAGTTCGGCGTCCACATGAACTCCCAGACCCTTTTCAAGGCGTGTGCTGGCTAGGGAAGTGTTGCCCAGTGTGTAAGCAGCTCCACAGTTTCTTGTTCCTAGATGCAGCACTGTGCACTTCTTCTGGTTGAATGGCATCATCCATAAATCAGACCATCGTGACAAGGACGTAAGATCCGTTTGTAAGGCGGCCGAATCGCTAGGAAGACGAGTGCAAGCGTACAGCTTCGCGTCGTCGGCAAACAATTCACGGTAGTACATAGTAAATGATAGTAAATGATACCTACATAGTAAATGATATCTAATATCTAATATAGTAAATTAGATGCTACATTGTTTGTGTATCTACAGCCCATCTGTGTGTGTTTGCATACAACCACTAGAACCCACCTGTGTCTGTGTTTGAGCCCTGTCTGACTCCCCCGATAACGCGGCGCGTTTCCAATGTGACGTCACTGACGCCCAACCACCCAATCCGTGCGTCAGCGACTCCACACCGACTATCAGTTGGCCTCGCGGCGCACTGGGCGCAAGTACGAGTGGTGCCGCTCCGTGCCGGACCGACGGGTGCTCTGCGGCTGCTCTGTGACGGTGACTGGCGTTTCGTGACGTTCCGTGACGTAGGTGCTCCGTGACGGTTTTGTACGGTACCACAGCACTCCGTGACGGCTGTGTGACGGCGGCTGGCGCTCCGTGACTGCTCTTCAACGTTCCTCGGGCCCTCCGTGACGGCTGTGTGACGGTCCCACAGGCGCTTCGTGACGCCGCCGTGACGCGGCTGGCGCGATGGCGTCCACGGCCACCCAAGTGGGGCTGCTGCTCTGGAAAAACGTCACCGTCCGGAGACGAAAACCGGTGAGTTCTGCAAATTAAACCGTCCGTAGTCGGAGACGAAAACCGGTGAGTTCTGGAAAGTAAACCTAACCGGTGAGTAGCTCTCTGCGGAAATGTTTCCACTGCTGGAGACAGTGACATAGCGGACGTGTTCCGGACGATAAGCGGCTCTTAGCCGACGCGTTTCTCCCGCTGGAGACAGTATTTGTATTGTATTTGTATTTACATATAAGAGCGATCCACATGCAAAATGTGTGGTGATAACTGCTCAGTAATTTTCAGCGGACGTGTTCTGCTGGAAACAACCTATTTTTTTTTTTAGCGGGCGTGTTTCTCCCGCTGGAGACAGTAATTCTCATCGGGCGTGTTTCCCCCCGCTACCAATTCGGAGCGGTGCGTGTTTCTCCCGCTGGAGACAGTGAATAGCTCTTAGCGGACGTGTTCCTCCCGCTGGAGCTGAACACAGTGGCAGCTGCTATGGGACGGTGGTACATACGCTGCGTATCACGATTCGATGTGCTTGAGGTGGTGTTAGATCATTTCCGGTGCCAAAATAACATTTTCCATAGTTCCCCTTCTGACTTATGATGATGAGTATACGTGACTGACCTGACCTCAGGCGACCCCAGGAAAACCGAGATATAAATACAAGTTGTGAGACTTCGGGAGGTTACTAAATCCTGTTAGCTTGATCTCCTTGTGAAAGTTCCTCTGGCACTGCGGGCGTTGCTAAGTAGCGACATTTTAGGACCGTGCAGATGTTCATTTATGATGTCATATCAGTGGCCTGACCTGACCTGAAAATACGGCTGGTGTCACGAGATCCGGCTTTAATAGACGGTCAGGTATGCCAGATTTTAGTTCTCTATCGCCAGCTTGTTTCGAGCAATTACGAAAAAACGTATGGGGGACTCGCCCCCCCCCCCCCCCAGGACTCACCGGCGAGGGTAAACCTTTGCCCTGTGGGTACATTAGGCCGAGACGGCCTATGGGCCGCCCGAGACGACCCTTCCTGCCTTCTTTCGTCGATGTTTCCGAGATAATTGCTCATATCCAGAGGTGCGGAGCCGGAGCAGGAGCCGCCGGAGCCGGCACATTTTTTGCCCGGTGCCGGAGCCGGAGACGGAGCCGCCATGACATTTCACCCGGAGCCACGGAGCCGGAACCGATTTTATTTCTCCGAAGCCGGAGCCGGAGCCGAAGCTGTCTGAAATTTCCACGGCTCCGCATCCCTGCTCATATCGCAACCAAACCTTCGTTTCCCCTTTTACGGGCTTTTGCGTCTGGTTCATGTAATTCATGCGGTTTTATGAGCTTAATCTGATCTTGAAGCATCAGCGTTTTTCAAACTTTTTGGTTTCCGGCTTGCATCGGGAAGTTCTCTATGGCCTGACACCAAAACACGTTCGTTCATTTTCCCCTCGCACGGCTTCCACAGATGCACATAAGTGCGGTATAGCCGATAATTTTGCCACATCCGACAGGGCCGCGGAACAGCCTGTCGTTGTGCGTCACCATAGGCCTTTGTCTCTCTCGTCTGACACAATGCCGTTGAAAACCACCGGTCTCCGAGCACCTGTGCGCCCATACAGGTGTTCATCCGTCCCACATATAGCTCCCATTGGGTGTGAGCGACCTGCAAATCTCGGGAACAATGACGGTCGACATTGAAGCTCACAAACAATTGACACAAACTGTACAATACATTTACCACTATTCCTAAAATAGAAATAACGGTGAACATTTCCGGCACCAAATTACTTTTTTATCTGACATCGGGCCAGTCTATTTTTAGCACGCGTGTGGCCAGAGGGCACACCCCTGGCGATTGTTTCCTGTGAGATTTAGAATTACCCAGTTTGCAGGGCTGGCTAGTCCGGAGAAAATCTCGCCCTTGTATGTACAGCTTTTGTGTGACTTAACCTCGCCGGCACGGGGGTTGATGCAACCCCGAATGTTTTTATTTTTCGCAAATAACTCGCGTTATAAAGAGCTGCCGATCGCGACGAAACTTTCGGTACCCTCGCGTTAATCTAGAATCACCTACCCTGAAAATTTCATGACCCTGACCCAAATGACCTTTGACCTGTGACCTACTTTTCGAGACCATATTTGCCCGAAATCGCGATTCGGCGTGAAAGCTGTCAGAGACGGTTGACACGTACTACCCGTGACGGACGTGTTACCCGGCAGGACCCCTACTGGTTGACCTGACCTGACCCGACCTAGCCTAAATACATGAAGGCAACATTTGTGATCAAAACTAACATAATATTTGTAATCAGCACCCCGAAAACCCATAGCAGCCACACTTTACGACGTTCTACCAGGTCCAGATTTTCTCGACTTTTCGGTCATTGACCTGACCTCAGAGGTCACCATTTGACCAATGACCTTAAAACCGGGTACCGTTGGCTTCGTCTCGTGATGACCTACACGGTGTTTTTTTTGTGAGGCTTTAGCTCAATTAGGGGCCAAACGCCAGGGTCCCAGGGAGGGGGAGGGTCGTACCAACCCCCCACCCTTGTGCCGTCGAAGGACGCAAAATGGCCTGTGCCGGCGAGGGTTAAGGTCAATATTTATGGATAGGGGGAGGGGTCCGTCGATTCCATCGATAGATTTGAGTGAGTGGACCAATGAAAATGTTGGCGCTGACAGTGTTTATCGTCGTGTTTCAGCCGCTGTTGGCCTGTTATACTGGCACTCGTGTGTCGCCATGTTTCAGATATAACTGCTGGCGACGGAGCTTCTCCACTGTTTTCTCTGGTGCTGACGATGCCGGCCACGGAGCTGCTGCTGCCTCTGGTGCTGTTGCCCTGCTGTACCGTGTTTTCTGTCGTGTTTCAGCCGCTGCTGGCCTGCTTTACTGACAGTAATCTGTCGTGTTTCAGCCGCTGCTGGCCTGCTTTACTGACAGTTCTGTCGTGTTTCAGCTGCTGCTAGCCACGGAGCTGCTGCTGCCGCTGGTGCTGTTAGCCGTTCTCTGTGGCATCCGATACCGGCAGCCGGCAGAGAGAATGGGCCAGAGTAAGTAGCTTCACCTACCCCTCCAACTTCTCACTGTGCCGTGAACTTCGCAACTTCTGCAGCAACGCTCCACTCGATACTGCTCAGCGTTTGAGGTAGTAGGCAGAATCCCCAGCTTGCCTATTGTAATCACTTACACCACTGTGATTGGTTCTCTAGACCATACATGCCATAAAGGGCTCGCAATGTTTGTGGTCGTATTTCCTAGTGATTATGTCGCCGTCTGACTAACCCGGTGCCGCTGTCCTCAGCCAGCTACTATGGCCGCGTGCTGCCGTCAGCGGGCCTCATCCCCGTACTCGAGTCTCTGTTCTGCACTTCGAGCGGCGAGCCGGACGGATACGGCTTCAAGCGCTACCCTAACTCGTCGTGAGTACCGCTGTACTGAGCAGTAACACGCGGGCGACTCGAGTGCTGCGATATACCCCGTGACGTCAGTTATCCGCCTCTTAGCAGAGATAAGACCAAGTCTGCGTGCCACAGACCTACTTGATTCGGAATCGATAGCACATGTTTGAGTAGAGTGTGGGTGTTATCAGGTTTTGCGGTGGTTTATCGGAACGCGTTACTTCGAGGGTTTGTTTTCTTCGTATATGTACAAGTATAGGTCAAGCATATTACAAGCATAGTTCAGTGATTTTCTTGGCGTGATTTGATCACCGCTCAAACAGCAAACTATTCTTACAGGAGCACCGCCATATTGGAGTACCTTCAGCGCCATGGCGGGCGCTGGCCACCTGGCGGTGACACGGGTGACCACCCTGCTGACCTCGGTCCGTCACAGGACGTCTGTGACGACTCTCTGGGGCCTGCGGAGGTGAGCGAACCTGCACTGTCAGTGGGAGTGTATCATGCTCGGTCAATAGTCCGCCTATCGGCTCACTGATTGTTGTTGAAAGTGAGGCGACACAACTGAGTGGTTTGTTTTCACTAATGGTGGGATTACGAGGCTGTTGACGCTGTACCGAATCATAGAACCTATCTGTTTGTCGTGGCGTTTACCCTATCGCTGCGTATATATATACACACACAATGAGTGAGAGGAATGACGTCCTGACGCCTGTTTTCCAGAATCGGACAGCCACCCAGAGTGTGGTGCTGCTCTGGGGCGCGGTACAGATGATTGTCTGCGGCCAGACTCCCCCGGTACCGCCGCCCAGTAAGGACACAATCACCGCCGCTGGTGGACCGATGTAGGGTTAGGGGTCGTACGAAACGATGTGGCTTTCAGCCTCTGTAAATAAGATTGTGCAGCTGATACCATTAAAAGATAAAAATGTGTTTTTTATTCATTACACATTGGCTCGTAATTTAACCCGCGCCCCACTGGGGGGGGGGGGGCTATTTATAGCCCCCCCTCCCGTTTTTCTGCAATAACTTCCAAACCGCTTGACGTATCGACGCCAAACTTTCAGTACCTTCGGCTTCATCAATTTGACACCTTGTGTCAAAATTTGAACTTCGTAGCTACCATAGGTCGGCCGGAAATGACGTCAGAGTGACGTCATGCTCGGCCGATTTCGACGCAAAACATTGAACCACGGCAAGCGCTCCCAAGAGCTCAGTTTTTAAGCTAGATCCAATTTCTTTGCATGAGAGGACCCAGAATAGACTGCGCTATCAAACTGCTATCTCGGATTTTCGAAATTTTGAAAATTTCGAAAAGTTGATATAATGAAATCCAAAATTTATATTTTTACATTTTTTTCAAAAAGTTTTTGACTTTTCGAAAAAAAACCGGAATATATGTGATAGAACGCATTATTATGACTAACTCTAGCAAGTTTTAGCTAAATAGCTTCAAAAATGGCCAAGTTTTACGCATTATTGCAAAAATTTCAATATTATTAATTTTTCAAATCAATTTTTCAGCACGTATTTGACATCGTACGCCAATATAAATAGCACCATCGTGTTCCTGAGCTCAAACTGCATCCAATAGACACCTTTTTTGTTGAAAAATTTTAACTTCAAAATTTGACCTTTTTTGACCTGAAAGTGAGCTGACCTAAGCTAAATTCGACTCAAAATGACCTCGAATGACACAGACGACATCACATTCGAAATCTCTGGCCTAAATGGACCATAAAACATGTGTCACGTGACCGACGCATGATATAATATTTTCGTGACCTGTGATGACCTGACCTTGACCTGAAAATTAAAGTACAAGTTTGGTACCCTCGGGGAATCTAGAGCATCTGTTCACGAGTGTGTGATCCAAAAATGAGCCTGCTCTGACTTGTAAGACGGCGACCAGAGCCCAAAACGTGAACAAGCAAAATGCTAATAATTTTTACTTTGACCTGACCTGTGACGTCATCGGTGACCTCGAGGTCAATGAAATTAGGTTTCGCTCGACAGTTTTTCCGGGGCTATCAGACGCCGTTTGAATTTTGACGATCGGCCCAGTAGTTTCGGAGTTAGGAGGGGGGGGGGCTATGAATAGCCCCCCCCCCCCCCCAGTAGGGCGTGTTATACGCAGACCCCAGTGGGGCGCGGGTTAACGAAACTCACGCCTTATGTCAATCGCGGATGATATACTATGTGATAGCTTCAAAGTCTTATTTTCTTTTTATTAACCGTGGAGCTGGTGAATGCATGAGTTAATGCAACATTCGCAACTATGTGTCGTCTTCCTCAGGCCTCTTTCCTATATGGCACGACACTTTGCCGCAAGGATCTGAATAACGTCGTTTTTTTCCGTTCCCTGTCCACCCCAGTGAACTCGACGGCCGACTTTATCGACTACCTGGGCGTGGACCCGTACCACCAGGGCCGGCTGGCCATTCTCTTCCACATGATAACCACTAATACCAGGATCCCGTTCGCGCCCAACACCACACAGGCCTGGAGGATCGTCAGAAAGGTGAGGTGATCGGGTAAGAAAAGACGATCAGGGGCGGCTGATCCACCGTCTGGGCCTGAAGCCAGTTGGAGGGTCGCGAGGGGTCATCAATGGGCTGCCAGTTGGGGCCACGGACGGGCTAGTGTGCGCTGTAGCGGCGGAACACCTTCAATTAAGGGGGGGGGGGCACTGCCGACTTTTGGTCCCATTCTTTCCATGCAACGCCCATAGAGCTAATGTTAAAATGCCAAAATCCAGGGGGCACGGTGCCCCGGTGCCCCCCCCCCCCCCGTTCCGCCGCCTATGGCTATGCGGAATGCGGATACATGTGTGATTGGGCAATCGGCTATGTTTGCAGAGGTTATCACACCACGTTGTTGACATGGTGGCCGCATTTCCCGTCATGGTGTCGTTGACACTCATGCTCTGTGTTTCGCCACGCTATCGCGGCTCCTCGGCGCTGACTGGACGCCCTAGCGCCGCCGCTGTGGTGCCGGCGTGACTGCCTGATGATGCCTCCTCAGGTGAATGAGACGATGGACTACGTGGCTGGACTGAGTGATGCGGCGCGTCTCTGGCTGCGGTCGCCCCCGCCGCCCGATCACACGCTGCCGGTAAGAGCAAGTGTCCTGTTATAACAATGAAAGAGTTACATATAGACAGACAGAGCCACAGTCAGGGCGCAGAGGAGAGGTTTATGAGGTGCAGATTACAGATATGAACACGGAACAAGTTTACACATACATAAAGGATATCGCGGACAGGAACGTTTTGCATCTCTACAAACTAACGACACTACACGTGCGTCACTGCAAGCATTCGTAAGCAGGTTTACCGACTCACACTATTAAAAGCGAATGCCGACGCAGTATGCTGACAGGCGTATCGTTTTAGCATGTTTTCACAGCGTCAATGTCACGTCATTCCGACAGCTGGGCGATGTGACGTAGCCTGACCTTGGCCTTGAGGTGCTGATAACCGTAGCAGCTGTATCGCCAAAAGTGCAAGGTTGGGGTCCCGAATGAAGTGCGTAATCGCCTTGTTTGACCTAGTCTCTGGCAATCTACTCGTACGTCCAGCCTTGACTTTCACTGACCTGTCCTTGGCTGATATCAACATATCTGGCCCATATCCTGAAAGTCTGGCCGTCTGTCATGGTCTGCGTATGACCGCCGTGACCGCGTATCGCCCACATATGACCCATCTGTAACCCGTCTCTCCGTCCCCGTCAGGTTCCGGCCGCCCAGCTGACCCTCATTAGCTGCGCCTGGCTGCAGCTGATGGGCGGTGCCGACCTGGACTGGTTCAGGCCGTTCCCGACAGAGGAGGCGGCCGTCCAGTACTTCCTCGGCGAGGGAGACACGACGGCCGCCGCTGACAACGCCACCGTCTTCGCAGGTGAGCTGACTCAGATAAGTTGGGGTTAGGAGGGGTGGCTGTGATCACTCTCCCACCGCATGAGTCTGCGTAAGGCTAATTCTTCGCGAACAGGACCCGGTAGATTGCATCTCAGGTGTTCTTTTTTCCTTATAGTCGCAAATTATACGATTGGTTAGTCCGTTGCTATCCGATATTTTGCTGTATCCGGTTTACCATGCTGCTCATTGTCACAGTTTTTAAATGACTTTTTGTCACAGTGAATGCCAAATATATTCTGCAAATGAAATGATGCTATGGTACAAACACGCTCAAACATAGCTCTGCTGTTTCCCACCCTCGTTCCCCTCTCTGCGGCTCACCAGAGCGTAATTCCACTGCGTGCAGTCCTGGCGTTCGATCTGCCGCCGGACGACAGCCTGCCGAGCCACCTAACCTACAAGATCCGGCAGAACGCCTCTCTGACGGCTAACACAGCGGTGGTGCGCGACCGCGCCTGGCTGCCCGGTCCCAGGAGCTGGGACTACAACTACTACGAGTTCGGATTCTCCTGGTTGCAGGTTAGCGTCGCTGCGACCTGCTCCGTGGGTGGGAGATATTTTGTGGGATGAGTGGGTCGTAGTTTGTGATATTCGTGTATCAATATCCGTTGTTAAGTATACTGGCAGTCCATTACAGATCACCACGTGTTGTGTGTTACAATGTTGACGCATCGGTACCTCCCTAGCCGCCGTCCACCATAGCCATGTTTCACCATAACATTGTGGATCACACAGTGGCCTCTAGTCTGACATCAGTCCGATGTCTCCCCTACTCTGACCGCCTCACCCCCTCCCCCAGGACCTGGTGGAGCGCGCAGTGACCTCGCTGCACGCCGGCCGGCCGGTGCTGGAGCCGGCCTCTGCCGTCCAGGAGATGCCTTACCCGTGCTTCATCCGCGACTCGTTCCTGTTCTACCTGCAGACGGTGATGCCGCTGTGTGTCACCCTGGGATGGGTGTGCGGTGTGACGCTACAGGTGCTGCTACTGGTGCAGGAGAGAGAGGATAGACTCAGGGAGGTGAGTGGAAAGAGGGAGAGGGGAGGATAGAGGAGCGGTGAGGAGAGGGAAAGGGAAGGGTCAGGGAGGCCGGAGGTGAGAGGGGAAGAGTAGTTAGGACCGGCCAGAGAGGTCGATATGGGACTGAAAGGTAAAGACCATTTTTTTTTTCTAGTTTACAGGTGTATTCATATCATATGGTGGCTATACAGGGTGGCGCCGATAAATGAAGACAATATGTGCTCCACACAAAACATTAATTTTTTGACAAAAGTCAGTACATTGGGTGGAAGCTTGGAACTGGGGTGACTGATGGCGACCTGTCGAGCACACTTCACTCGATGAATCCCCCTCCGCGTCGATGACGGCCTCGATGCGCGGCCTGAACCGGGCGCAGGCCTTGGTCAGCATGGTCTTGTCCATCTCGACCATCATCTGCTTGATGGCTGACTTCATAGAGTCAATATTGTTGTGTGGGTGTTTGTTAGTGTCCCTCTCGACTACGCCCCACACGTAATAGTCGAGCGGGTTCAGGTCCGGGGAGTTTGGCGGCCAGAGCTCGGGCGTGATGTGGCTGTGCAGGTTGGCGCTCATCCACTCCTGCGTCACCCTGGCCTGAGGGCGGGTGCAGAGTCTTGTTGGAACACATAGGGCCTTCCTCAGCCACTCGGTAGATCCAAGGCTTCACGACGTCACCGTCATCGACGGTGACGTCGACGTCGGGTCATCGTCGACGATGTTCTCGACTTTTGCAATGAAATCGTCGTCTCTGACGGCATCAGATCGTCGGGGATGTTTGTTCCGCTTTGCCACAGACGGAACGTCGCCCACAGACTCATCCAAGATCCGCTCGACTTTATAATCATGGCTTCTGTCGACCTTGAGGAAGTTGGCGACCTGGGGTGCCTCGCTGCCGGCGTGAAGCGCCACAATGACCGCGTGCCTTTTCATTTCTTCCGCTATCATCTTCAGCTGCAACGTTCCCTTTTGCTATGGGCAACAATTTACATAAAGCATGGCACATGAATGCAAAAAAAAAAATATTGCTTTGCACAAAATGGTTTCCTCGTAACACAGGTTTGAAATTTGTGGTTATTTACCGGCGCCACCCTGTAGATGCACGCACAAACCATGTCACGAACACTCGAAGAGACTGCAGGAATTCACGGTGGCGGTAGCGTCACTTATTTGTCAGGGATGTTCTCCAGACCCTTCCACTTGTAGTAGTCTCCAAAGAGCCTCTGGTCTCTCCTCAGCACCTGTCTATTCTCGAGGTACTTCAGTGACTTCACGTTGGGATTCTTGTAAACCAGCTGGTTACAGAAATACATGGCATAACATGGCACACTCAGCGCCCCGAGGATTATGCCAAATGAAGGCAATATTTCATACCACATCGTTAAAAATACCAAAAAATGCAAATCAAATATCGCCTATGCAATGTGGAGAAGATTCGGCAAATTTAGCGAATTTTGAGGTAAAGATCATTAATTGGGACGAGGACAGGCTCAGATGAGTTACAATGATAGGAAAGTGGACTGATCGCTGACTGTTGACCGCTCACTGTCGGTCATTGACCGTTGATCACTGACGTCTGACCGCTGAGTGCTGATCGCTGACCACTGACCACCTCCTCAGGTGATGCTAACGCTCGGTATCAGCGTGTCCGCCGTGCGCCTCTCCTGGGTCCTGACGGCGCTGGTGGTGACGCTGCCCTCGGTGGTGGCTGTGACGCTGGTGCTCTGCTACGGCGGTATCCTGCGCTACAGCAGCGTCTCCCTCGTGTTCTGCCTGCTGATGCTGTTCGCCGCCGACAACATCGCCGTGGCGTGAGTGATTCGTGTGGGACTGGTGACTGTTCGGTCGGCTGCTGTGGTTGGTGGGTGGTTGGAGGGGAAGGGGCGTGAATTGGGTGCTCGTGAGTTATGCGAACTGTTAAGTGTCTTGGCATGGCTCATGGCTCATGGTGGCTCTCACATGATCATTGGGTTTTCTAACGCTTGGCTGTCGTGAAGTGAAGTAATTGTAAACGTGTCATTTATGGTTTGAATAGTAAGCCTATGGCAAATAATGTAGTTTAAAAATTCCTATGACTGCAGCAGTTGTAACATTCAGATATTTTGACGGTGATTGTTAAATAATTATCACTTAAATGCCCTACCGCCCCCTCATGTACGTGCGTTCCCTCACCGCCGCCGCCCGTTCCGCTGTGACGCTGTCTCTCCGTCAGCCACCTGCTGAGCGCTCTGTGTCCGGGCCGAGCGCGGACGGCCGCCGCCGCCTCCACCATTCTCTACTTCCTGGCCTACGTGCCCTACATCTACGTGTCGGTCATCGAGAACACGGCCATGCAGCCCGTCTCCACCCCCGTCAAAGTCATCACGGTCAGTTATAACGGCGGTGGAGGGAGATGGCAGCCGTAATTGATCTGCTATGTTAGATCGTGTATTTTCACGGTTAAATGTTACTTGTGCCGATAGTCGCTGCAGTGGTTCAGGTGGCTTGAATCATCATAATCAAGGACGGTTTTGTACGCCGTGGGCTAATCGAAGGCGTGATAACTAGCTAGCTAGTGGGAGGTGTAGGTCAAGGGCAGCTCACACTTTATCCGTGATCCCGAATTTCGATGGGAGCCTCTTTCGCTTGTGCCTATGTATGTTCATGACCGTACTGGTGAGTTCACTCTGCATAAATGGCTGATGACTGCCCTTGGTTATGAGTTATGTTATGACCAATGTCTCCCTGGCTGATCTCCCTTGCTGACCTATCTCTGCTCTCCTCCCGTCGGCAGTGTCTGCTCTCTCCATCAGCGTTCAACCTGGCGTTCAAGTACGTGGGCTTCTACGAGCAGCAGGGCAGCGGCGTGGACTGGAGCACGTGGACCGTCTCGCCGGTAGAGAACGACCAGTTCAGCCTGGCACTCACCATGCTACTCATGCTGCTAGATATCCTGCTGTACGCGATCGTCATCTGGTACGCCGAGGCCGTCTGCCCAGGTACGAGTCCAATGCTTTTGGTATATTTTGGGCTTGGGGTCATCATTTTCCCGTTTGGCCTGCTAACTGCAAAGTTATTATACTTATTGTAAACTGAATGAGTGGTGAATATGAAGTGCATTAGGTATCTTTCTCCGATGCCTAAGTTTGCTCCCATCCATCTCCACTTCGATACGACATCTCTTTGATTTGTTTGTTCGAACATGACGACATTGCTTGCCTTCTTACCTGATCCTTGATCTTGCTTACTTGATCTTGCCCTTGCTACCTCGGCTTCCGATCCCAGATGAGACTGCCACCCTTTACCCTAGTAGTTCCAGTGGAAGTTGTCGCTCACTTCTAACCCTCACCTCCGTCAGGCTCGGCCGGCGTGCCCCAGCCGTGGTATTTCCCCGTTACGCTCCGATACTGGTGTCCGTCGGCGGTGAGGGACGGCGGCAGACGAGCTGGAGAGGAGGGGAGCGGCGCGGAGGACGGACCGACAGAGGACGGTACGGACTAGTCGCCAGCTGCTCCGTCACTAGTCGCTGTCACCGAACGCTTAATCGCTCTTCGGGTTCTTTTCGGGATGTTTCTCACTAACTGTTTCTATTGAGGGATCTGATCTGGCCCCGGTTGTCGCACTGCTGTGCTCAGTGAATGGTCTGCCTCGTATAGCTGCGGTGCAATATTCTTACTCCTCAATGAATTGCTCCAGTGTGTACTGTAGCCTATAGTTGAACGATAGTCGGGACGAGGACGAGGTTCTTGAACCTAGTCAGTGACCTGACCCCTGCCCCGTCCCACAGGCGAGGCCGGTCTACTCAGTGAGCGCGAGCCCTCCGATCTGAAGCTGGCCGTGGAGCTCAGCGGTGTGAGCTGGAGGTTCCGCGGCCAGCCCCGGCCCGCCGTGGACCAACTCAGCCTGCGGCTGTACCAGGGACAGGTCACCGCGCTACTGGGGCACAACGGAGCCGGGAAAACCACCACCATGTGAGACTGGGAACGGGGTGCTGTTTGCACGCATGTCCTTGGATTGGACTGGATGGAATACACGATGTCAAGGAAAACTTCAGTAATACTATTGAATCGGGCAACTAACTAATGCTTTTTATATAGCCTGTTTTCCCAAAAATGTAATTATCAAGCACGCCATTCTACAAGCAAATTGCGAGATTGTCTCTTACCCTCAGCTGAATGTTGTGTACTCAGCTGCCTCTAGTCTGTAACGCTCCCAGCTCCCTAGTACCCAGGTCGAGGTTATGTGGCATCTTCCCCCGCCAGTCTGTAACCCTTCCCTTTCCCCCTCCCCCAGGTCAATGCTATGCGGCCTCCTCCCCTACTAGTCGGGCTTTGTAAACGGTCTCAGTGATTGTGTTCTGTATCCTGCCTCCCCAGGTCAATGCTGTGCGGCCTCCTCCCCTGTCAGTCCAGCTCAGTGACCGTCAAGTCTCTCCCTGCCCCCAAGTCAATGCTGTGCGGCCTCCTCCCCTGCCAGCCGGGCTCAGTGACTGTTTATGGTCTCGGTGTGTATGGTCTGTACGATCTTTCCCTCTGTCCTCAGGTCGATGCTCTGCGGTCTGCTCCTTTGCCAGTCGGGCTCAGTGATTGTGTGCGGTGTAGTATGTACATTGGACAGTCTCAGTGACTACTGTCTCTCTCTCTTCCCTCAGGTCCATGCTGTGCGGCCTGCTACCCTGCCAGTCGGGCTCAGTGATTGTGTGCGGTGTAGTATGTACATTGGACGGTCTCAGTGACTGTACTCAGTGACTCTCTCTCTTCCCTCAGGTCCATGCTGTGCGGCCTGCTGCCCTGCCAGTCGGGCTCAGTGACTATGTATACGGTCTCAGTGATTGTGTACGGTCTCTCCTGCCCTCAGGTCCATGCTCTGCGGCTTGCTGCCCTGCCAGTCGGGCTCAGTGTAGTCTCTCCCTGCCCTCAGGTCTATGCTCTGCGGTCTGCTGCCCTGCCAGTCTGGCTCAGTGACCGTCTAGTCTCTCCCCTCCTCCAGGTCAATGCTGTGCGGCCTGCTGCCCTGCCAGTCTGGCTCAGTGACTGTATGTACTGTCTCTCTATCCTCAGGTCGATGCTGTGCGGCCTGCTGCCCTGCCAGTCGGGCTCAGTGACTGTAGTGTGTATAACTGTATACTGTACAGGGTGATCCAAAAAAATTGGAACCCCTAACTTAAAATGTCTGTATGTCAGTAAATTTTCACTTAATTGACAAATTGCAAACACCATTAGAAAGGGCGTTCAATTCTCTATAAAACCAAGTTGATTGAACTTAATTATTACTCTAAATATTGCCCTAGACATATGCCTATAAAATTTGTGTCACGAAACTCAGTGAAACGGTTTTGAACATCATGCGCAAATCAGTGATTGACGGTTTGCTGTTCTGAACATGTCGCTTGTTGGAGGTTATCAGGAGTATGAAAAATAACCTCTTGCTCATATCTGAAGGAATTAAAAAATTAAAGACCAATACCTATATATTCGGGCGTGGCCCTTCCTCAGTGGTACAGTGTTACAATGGATGGGGAATATACCTGAAATCATTGTTGGAGGTTGATAAAAATAGCTCATTCACGTGCTATTGTAAGGAAAGGGAAGGCTGACGGCCTGCTGGGACCAGTTGTCCCAGAGACTGCTGGCTCGCGCAGTCGGAGCTGTCCCCAAGCAACTGCAGGCCTGCGTGACGGCCCACGGAGCTCGCGTTGAGCACATGCTGAGATGAACAGCGGAAGCTAGGAGTTAGGACGCGTGTATCTGTTCTACTGTGTGCTTCTGTGTAAACTTTTATGTAATAAAATTGAATTTGGATGTGGTGTTATTCGCAAAAAGACAACAGATAGAGTGCTAACGGATTTCAGCGCATTGTAACATTTGGCGATTTCGTTACACTTAGTTTTCTGACGCTCATTCCAAAAACTAATAGTGTGCCAATGCTTTACAACATACATGCACCAATTTGACGTGATTTTATAGAGAATTTAATGCTCTTTCTAATGGTGTTCGCAATTTGTAAATAAAGCGAATACTTTTGGACTTATAGACATTTTAAGTTAGGGGTTCCAAATTTTTTGGATCACCCTGTATAGTGTGTACAGTGCACGCACTATTTCTCTGCCTCAGGTCGATGCTGTGCGGCCTGCTGCCCTGCCAGTCGGGCTCAGTGACTGTAGTGTGTATAACTGTATACTGTATAGTGTGTACACGCACTATCTCTCTGCCTCAGGTCAATGCTGTGCGGCCTGCTGCCCTGCCAGTCGGGTTCAGTGACTGTATTGTCTCTCTCTCCCCTCAGGTCAATGCTGTGCGGTCTCCTACCCTGCCAGTCGGGCTCAGTGACTGTAGTGTATACTGTATAGTGTGTAGGTGTATGTACACTTAGGTCCCCCCCCCCCCTCCCACCCAGGTCGATGCTGTGCGGCCTCCTCCCCTGCCAGTCGGGCTCAGTGACTGTTTATGGTCTCGGTGTGTATGGTCTGTACGATCTTTCCCTCTGTCCTCAGGTCGATGCTCTGCGGTCTGCTCCTTTGCCAGTCGGGCTCAGTGATTGTGTGCGGTGTAGTATGTACATTGGACAGTCTCAGTGACTACTGTCTCTCTCTCTTCCCTCAGGTCCATGCTGTGCGGCCTGCTACCCTGCCAGTCGGGCTCAGTGATTGTGTGCGGTGTAGTATGTACATTGGACGGTCTCAGTGACTGTACTCAGTGACTCTCTCTCTTCCCTCAGGTCCATGCTGTGCGGCCTGCTGCCCTGCCAGTCGGGCTCAGTGACTATGTATACGGTCTCAGTGATTGTGTACGGTCTCTCCTGCCCTCAGGTCCATGCTCTGCGGCTTGCTGCCCTGCCAGTCGGGCTCAGTGTAGTCTCTCCCTGCCCTCAGGTCTATGCTCTGCGGTCTGCTGCCCTGCCAGTCTGGCTCAGTGACCGTCTAGTCTCTCCCCTCCTCCAGGTCCATGCTGTGCGGTCTCCTCCCCTGCCAGTCGGGCTCAGTAACGGTTTACGGTCTGGACACGCGGCGCGAGCTCTCCGAGGTACGCCGAGCGCTCGGCTTCTGCCCCCAGCAGGATGTACTGGTGGACGGCCTCACTCCGGCGGAGCACCTCTGGATGTACGCCAGGGTCCGCGGCGCCACTGATGATGAGGCTGACATGGAGGTCATCAGGTCAGTCTGCGGGGGGCGTTATAAAAAGAGAGGATGGGATCTTCAGGTTAGGGGAAAAGGCATAATGTTCATGCGCACCAAATCGGGGAACAACACACAGGTATGTCAGTTACAAAAAGTATATTTTTACCTTACGGGTAATATTTATGCGGATATATCACGGGTGGTGTGGCTGGTTCAGGAAAAAGGTGCGGAGAGGACCGTATTGAATTATCTTTATGTGTCGTCTTTGAGGAGAGGTGCTGATTTGTATGGGTCATGCTTACAGATACGACGACAAACTTTTGGAAAAGATGTGCATCACCTATAAGTCTTTGACCCTCCCTCCCCACCCAGCGTGCTGGCCGACATTGACCTGCTGACGCGGCGTGACCTGGACGTGCGCCACCTATCGGGCGGCCAGCGGCGCAAACTGTCGGTGGCTATCGCCTTCCTGGGCGGCAGCCGGTGCATCGTTCTCGACGAGCCGACGGCCGGCGTCGACCCGCACTCGCGCAGGGCCATCTGGAGGCTCATAGCCAAGTACAAACACGGTGAGAGTGATGGGTGCTGTCTGTCTGTGTCGGGGAGGGCTGGGATTAAGAAATGTAGGTACTGCTCGGTGTGCTTTTATCGGCTTCGGGTGATTGAATTCACACCCGTCCGTCGTTTCCATCCTCAGGATGTTTAAATCCTCCACGCCGCAACCCTCGGTCCGGGCTGGACAGGCACCTTAATCTCATGCGGGCGGTCCCCCAATGGAGCGCACCGCAGCTCCCGAGGGAGCGCACCCCGTAGCCAGGTGCAGTGAGTGCTTGAGGGGCTGGTCGGCCTGTCCATTCGGACGGGCTCAGCCCTGGTGACTCTATAGTGCCTGCCCAGACCAGTGTCTCTCCGTAATTCCTATCATCCTCCCGGCTCTGAAATGGTCTTGTCAGAGCGAAAGGGCCTAACCCATTAGGCGCCCAACCCATTAGGCGCCCAACCCAATGAAACAAACAAATTGAAAGCAAAATTGTTCGTCCTGTGCTCGGTTTCGCGAGTGATCTGCTAAATCTTTCCAGATAGGTGTCATAGGTTTGGAAAGCTTTGATTATCGCGAGGCACCTACTCCATAGTTAAATGTAATTTACGCTGGTAATTTTAATTTATTAGAAGTTTCAGGCCTAGTAATTAACAAGCTTTTCCTTATAATCAATATTTGGAGCCCAGTTTGCTCGTCGCCCGCGTGGCCTAATGGATAAGGCGTCGGTCTCCTAAACCGAAGATTGGGGGTTCGAGTCCCCCCGTGGGTACACCACTTTTCGTCTGTATCACGCGCGCTGTCTCTTACTAGCTCCAAGGGAAGCTTTTGAGCTTTTGTGGTCAAAGCAATGTCAATTTTACCGTAACGTCACTTGTAACACTACGTTTCATTCCACTACTTGCACGAACTTTGCGAAACGTACACGGTGACCTGCGTTCGGGAATATGTGTGAAGAGCGCCACCTACCGACTCGTGGCGCCACTATTTAGAGCGTAGCTTTTATCAGCGTGAGTTGCATATAATGCATACGTATTCATTTTACTGCACCTCATACCACGAGCACTGAGGGCACAGCCTTGATCCACCTCCCTCTGACAGCCGCGATCTGGCCTGGGGAGGGGCACGAGTCAGTGGCCAGATTTGAGCCGGCATAATATCTGCAATTAGGACGGAAGAGCGAGTGTGGGAGCCTCTGCTGCTCTCCAAGTACCATATCCATTTTTCATGGCGATTGTGTGGTATGGATGTGCGGACCGTCCTATGACTCTTTGCTCTGACGTTTCAGGTCGGACCATCCTGCTGTGCACCCACCACATGGAGGAGGCCGACATGCTCAGTAACAGGATCGCCATCGTCGCAGATGGACGGGTGAGTGCCAATGCTTGTAGAGGAGTGTGCAGGACTGGTGGGTGGGTGTCGCTGATGTTGGTGGTGTGGGACGAGGGCGGATGCTCACGGAAAACAGAGTACACTGGCCGGGGCTGACGCTCACGAAGTCTAGTCAGACGAAGGACAGGCACCTTGTACTATAACTGAGCACAGATGTTCGTAAGTCGTATGCTTTGGCGAGTAAGTATGACTGTCTTTGGCTGAACGGCCCCGTGAACTTCTGCCTCTTAGAAGCTGCTGTTCAAAAGTTGCAGCTCGTCTCCCTCATTTGTCATGGCATGTCTAGGACTCTTCGGTGTACTGTATGAACACCACTGATCACGATGCTCGCTGTGTCCAGCCTCGCTCTTGTGGTAATTGAACTAAAATCGCTCTCTCCCCTGTCTCCAGGTTCGCTGTGTCGGCTCGCCGATGTTCCTGCGTCGTCAGCTAGGCGCCGACTATCACCTACACGTGGTACGCACCGTCCCGACTTCCAGCCATGGCGAGGAACAGAATGAACTGACCTCCAGCCCTAGAGAGGGAGAGGAGGGAGTGACCTCCAGCCCTGGAGAGGGAGAGGAGGGAACACAGACTGCCTCTCTGGCCACTCCAGCGATCACCAATGTCACCGAGTCGTCACCAGAGGTCACCAAGTCACCACCGGGGGTCACAGAGGTCACTGGAGCGACGAGCCACCCGCAGAAGACTGAGGATTCCGCTGTCGATAGGTAAGTAACGACCGGTGGTCGACGCCGTTGATAGCGCCCTACAGCTTGGCTGTATTGCTGCAGAGGATCATTGGCATCGTGGGTACATGTTACATTCAGCTTATCTTTCCTGTTCATGGTGGATGCAATACTGCTAATTTATGGACCGCCAATTCGTTTTTAGCTAATCTAAGCAATCTGCGAACTTAACGTCAACATTTTACACGATCTTCCTGGAAATCATCCATTCATGTTTTGAAACTGGGATTGTGTGAGAAAGGCAAACCTCCTAAAACTATGAGCAGACAACATAATAAGTAACCCCGCTGTGGCGCTGTGCCCCCTCGCTCACGCCACCAGTAACGCGGCGTCGGTACTGTCGCTGCTGCGGCGCCGCTGCGCCGGAGTCCGCCTGCTGCGCACCTCCGCCCACGAGCTGCACTTTCTGCTGCCGCCCGTGGCGGGGGCGGGGGCGGCGGCGGGCGGCAGCGGACTGCCCGAGCTGCTGGAGGAGCTGCAGCGCCACGGTCGCCGGCTGGGTGTTACCAGCTACGGCCTGCAGACTACATCCATGGAGGACGTCTTCCTCAGACTCACTCGGCACTCAAATGGTTAGTGATGGAACAACGGATGAGGAATGGGAGCAGGCACAGGCCACGTCAGAGATAGACGCCAGTGGTACGGGCGAAGGGAGTGTTGTACATCCAAGCTCCGCTGTCACACTAATCGCTGCGTGTTGCGTTTCGACCGTTGACCGCTTATTAACTTCTAACGCCACCTTGTCCTTCCAGGCGCTCCAGAGCCGCCGCCCGACCCGGACTCGGACCGGGCCACCCCTCCGCCGTGTGACGTCACCGCTGCAGCTGACGTCACACCGCGCAGTGACGTCACCGAGCCGCCGCTGTCAGGCCGCCGTCTGCTGTGGCAGCAGTTCGTTGCCGTGCTGCTCAAACGGTTCTACTGTACGCGAAGAAATTGGTCGCTGCTTATTAGTCAGGTGAGCTGACCAGTCACGAAGACTGCATATTACCGGTGTGGACACTAGACAACAAGGATGGCATGCCTGGGTGCTTCTTGGTTATAACTTATGCTATGTATTTGAGGTTTTAATGCGTTATTTTGAACCACAATGCAGCTCGATAAGCCCGAAAACAGTCAAAATACGCTCCCGTTCTCCCTCCCTTCAGGTGCTTCTACCGGCGTTTTTCACGTTCCTGGCCATGTCGGTGGCAATCGTGGCGCCGGTGGTGACGGACAAGCCGGCGCTGGTGATGGCGCCCACGCAGTACTTCAACTACAGCTGGCCCGATGTGGTGCCCGTGGTCAGCAACCGTCTGGATGTGCTCAACCCGGGGTGAGTACAACATCTGAGGAGGGGTGGGCTGAACTGATCCCGAGGTCAGTCAGTGCAGGGGAGGGGTCTGCTGAACCCGGGGAAGTACAGGGGAGGGGCTGAGCTGGACCCGGGGGCAGTGGGCTGGAAATGTTGAGAGGGGCTGCTCAGCCCGGGGCTGGGGAAGTGTCTGGAAGGATTGGGCTACATGAAACCGGGGTTAGACGCGCTGAGTGGCTTTCTGGGGCTAGTTCAGAGGGTGAAACGAAGGAGTGATCAGTAGGCAGTCCTGCTGGGTATCCAGGTCTAGGGACTACTCGTTCCGTATCCAAGCACACAAATCACGTCCCGTTTCGACGTACTGTAGCATGCGCGCCATTACTTTCTTATCGTTCTCAGGCACACCACTGACAGTCCCCGACTCTCCTTCCGCAGGTTCAGCACCGATGCGCCTTCCACTAACGTGTCTCATACGCTGCGCCTAGTGTCTGGACTGGGGGCCACCTGTGTCCTCCGGGACCCGCATAACGCCAGCGCCGGCTTCGACCCGCTCTGTAACACCGTTCGGCACCATGGAGGTGAGTGTGACACCGTGTGACACTACATGACACCGTCAATGACACTGTCCGACCCGCTCTGTGACACCGTGCGGCACCATGGAGGTGAGTTAAGACACCGTGTGACATCGTTTGACACTGACGTGACACCATGCGACACCACGGCGGTGAGTCTGACACTGACAGTGACACCGTACGACACCGTGGTGGTGAGTGTGACACCGTGTGAGACACAGACTGACACAGTCAGTGACACCGTCTGACAGTCAGTATTTGTTACAGTCGTCGTATTTGCATACATCGCAAGCGTTCGTTACGGACTGTCGTATTTTCGCTCATGATCTCATGTTAATCAGGTTCAGTTCACGGTATTATTCCCCAGTTCCTGTGTTGACGTCGCCTTGTATCTCCCTCGCTCCGTTTCAGATGTATCGGGTCAGCTGGTGTTCCGGCGGCGGGAGAGGTCACTGACCCATAGGAGCCGTCGGTCGGCCGGTCAGCAGCTCACCACCATGCCTCCGAGCCAACAGAGGTGAGGCACTGTACACATACTATAAGGGAGGGCCTTCCCATGTCTTGGCGGTGGGGAGTTCATTGACCCATAGACGTCGGTCGGCCGGTCAGCTCACCACCATGCCCCCGAGCCAGCAAAGGTGAGGCACTGCACCCGCATGGAGACTCGTCAAAGCATGATACATTGCATAAGGTGCTCTTGAAAGCGTCCCTTTACTTTTATCCCGTTTTACACCTGGGCTGGTCATTTACCTTTGTGCTCAACTTGTCCCTTCGCTGCTTCGGAACGTAAAGTGTGACACCGTCGTTTTGTGATTGTCTTTTATTACTGAATGTCATGATGGTGCCATCGCCATCTCTCCTTCTCTTTCTCATCCCTGCCCCTTCTCTCCTCTCTTCTCGTTCTGACCCGCTTTGTTTCGTCCGATTGTACCCCGAGTGCCGGTGCGCCGGCCAAAACCTACCTCCCCATAGGTACCCCATTCTAAATCACCCCGTCCCCTAAGATTCTACCAGGACTGCCAAACATGCCTGGCTGACGGCGCTCTCTCCCTTCTTTCCCGCTCTGACTATCTCCCTATCCCTCAGACCAGGGTTGTGCTTGACTCATGAGTCGAGTCAGAAATTTGACTCAACTCTGACTCAAATGAGTCAGATTTGAGTGGAGTCGGATAAAAGGTTGAGCTGTTGAGTTGAGTCAGAGTTGAGTCGGACAAAAATATTAAGGTGTTGAGTTGAGTCAGAGTTGAGTCAGTAAAATAACTTTTGACATTGAGCTGAGTCAAGAACATTTAGGAACATGAGTCAGCTGACTCAACTTTTTAGAAACAATATATAGTATAAGTTTTTCATTCTCCCCGCTTAGCAACTTACGCCTGGCCCTGCTGCCGGATTTTTTCACCCCCCCCCCCCCCACTCAACAACTTTTTTATCTGAGTCAATTTTGAGTCAACACACTTGACTCAACAAAAAAATTTGAGTCAAGTTTGAGTCAACTCATATTTTCATTGAGCCGCTTGAGTCATGACTGAGTCGAGTCAAGGGAAAAAATCAGCTCCTTGTTTGAGTCAGAGTTGAGTCAGGGCATTCTGAAGTTGAATGATGAGTCGAGTCGGCAAATTTTTTTGAGTCGAGCACAACCCTGCCTCAGACTCTACCCGAGGGCTGTTCGGGTCCCTGCAGCATAGATCTGTGCTGCGTGCGTCATACTTGGGTGACGTCAACCGCCTGGCTCCGCCCACTCTCCGCCGGCACGCCGCGGCCGAGCGTCGCTGCAGCCTATTTCAAACGCGGCGAACCGTTGCGCGGGTGGACTGGTGATTTTCGCTCGAATAACGGTTAAATTGCGTTCAAATGTGGTTAATAGCAATGTGCCACCGAAAAGAGTGATAATGATACCCAAAAAACAGCATACAAACCGCTTGCAATAAGAAATATTGGATGGCAAACTTTAATCCGCGCCACTTTCGCCTCCTGCAGCACCGAATTTCGTGCTGCAGAGCCCTGTTCGGGCAGCGCATCCTACTGCAAAATTTTGCACCACGCATGCGCAGTAGGGGTCTCTCGGGTGCCAGGCTCCGCCCTTCGGCGTATGACGTCACATGTGTGACGTCGGCACACGCAAAATCTTTCAGTTTTGCGCAACAAGAAAATAGGAGCTGCATTGACCTCTATAATACCTAGACGGCCCACTCACTACATTTACCCTTTCCCAAAACGGCAGCGCCGCAAGTGGTCAGAGGTCCCCCCTCCCCCTCCCACGCGCAGTGGGAGGGGGAGGGGGGATTTCGCCCACCCCTCCTGTTTTTCGCCAATAACTCGCGCCGCAAACATAACATTAATGTGAAATTTTGGCTACCTGGCCTAAATTGAATTGCGGATCTTCTCGTGCAAGAAATGAGAAAATTGGCTCACAAATTTTCTAGCAATAGCGGTGTAAAGTCAAACATTCTGCCGCCGCCGCGGTGCGGCGGCGCGTCGGCCGGCGTCAGCCGTTACGCGCCGCCTGAATTGTAGACTGTGCCGGGGCAGGACGGTTCCGTCTTTACATCGCGCTCCTTACCGCTGATTATATTCGATTCGTGTCAAATTTTGTGTGAAGACTAAGAAATGTACAGGCAATCTTATGGTCAAAGAATTTAAAAAATCAGCCGGTAAAAATTTCAGTTATTAGAGTGTAAACACAAAATTGTGATTGCTGTGTTTCCCGCGTCGGCCGATCCCGCTTCAGCCAGAGACATCTTACCCTTAGCAGGCTTCTAATTGCCATTTTTATTGTTGGATTTACTAGAAAATTCATCATACATTCTCACAAATGTATGTTCTTTCGTATAGTGAAAGAACAAAGAAAATCGGCCGGTAACTTTTTGAGTTATCGGCGTGTAAACGCAAAAAAGTCGCTCATATTTGACCACATTTGACCTCATTTTATATTGACCTAGGGTCATGAAATTCACATACAACAGAGTTCCCTAGGGCCCCCACCTACCATCCAAATTTTGTCTTACTAGCTCCAGTGGGAGCTGAGATCTTAGGGACGACTCCCCGCCCCCCTTCCACTGGGCGTGTTAACCCGCGCTGGGCCGGGGGGGGGTGTGTGTTTGAACACCTCTCTGCGGTTTTCCGCAGATATCTCAAAAGGTCATGACCTGAGGTCAACTCTGAGGATATGTTGGCGAAAGAGCGTCAAAAGAGCTATCCAATGCGCTTTTTCGCGGCGCTGTAGCTCTATCGGTTCCCGTCCCGAGTTAGACGTTGGCAGTTTCCAAAATGTTGAAATAAGCAACACCTTACTTTTGGTGACCTCTGGTGACCTGACCTTTGACCTGACCCAAAAAATGAAAAGGTCCTTGAGTTGTGAAGGTGCGCACTGCGCATGTTTCGGACTTTGACCTCACCTCGGGACTTGACCTTTTGGGTTAGGGGGTCAAAAGTTGCACACAAGACGTGCTATTTAATTGTGCGCATGCATGCCAGGTTAGCCATGGGTTGCATGCCGCCGTTTTCAAGATATTCGCAGAAGTCAAGTATGTGGGAAGGCAGATTCCGCCGCCCCTCCGGTGTTGCTCCGGTGCGCCTAATCACCATTGTAACCGTCATGCTGAAAAAACGAGCCTGATGTCATATGAGAAAAGCATGATTTCGTTTAAGAAAAGTGTTAAATGTACCACGAACACGATATTTCCCGCTTAAATCGCATTTAGAAAAGTGCCACCCATCATTGCCGACTGTGGCGGTCGGGAACTTCTGACCACTTCCAGGTGGCGCTAGTGAGCCTCCATGCGGGAACGACTCGGCGCTGGTGGCGCCGCGTGAGTGGGCCGTCTAGATACTAATAGAGGTCAATGAGGAGCTGCAGGAGGCGAAAGTGGCGCGAATTAAAGTTTACCGTCCTATATTTCTTATTGTAAGCGGTTTGAATGCTGCTTTTTGGGTATCATTATCACTTTTTTCAGTGGCACATTGCTATTACCCACATTTGAACGCATTTTATTCAGTTTTTGAACGAAAACCACCAGTCCATCCGCGCCACGGTTCGTCACGCGTCGAATAATGGCTGCCGCGGCCGCCGCGGCCCTCGGCTCTGGCGGCCCGGCGGAGAGTGGGCGGAGCCAGTGGCTGACGTCATTCCAAGTGTGCCGTCACACGCTGCAAAATATTTTGCGCGGACCCGAACAGGGCTCAGGAAAACGAAGCATGCTTCAGTAGGTGACGTCACACAGGCGGTGACGCAGTGGTGTGGGCGGGACTAACGGGCGACGCAGTCCTCACTGCGCATGCGTGCTGCAGCATATTTCATTTTGGCTGCGCAGCCGAACAGCCCTCCGGAGTGCCGATGTCGCGCGGACGGCGCCGGCCAGGAGTGTCGTGTGGGCAGACGCCCTCTATCTCTTCCTGTGTGTCTGATTCTCCCTGCCCTATCCCTCAGACTGTACCCGGAGTGCCGGTGTCGCGCGGACGGCGCCGGCCAGGAGTGTCGTGTGGGCGGCTACTCCCTGCCCGTCTCGTGGCCGGTAACGACTGGTGATCTACTGCAGAACATTACCGGACAGCCGGAGACGGAGTTCTACCGGGCCACCACCGACATCTACCGGTGAGGGTGGGAGCGGTAGGTATGGACTGTGCGGGCTGAACTCTACCGGGCCACTACCGATATCTACCGGTGAGGGTGGGGGGTGGATCAGCCGGAGACGGAGTTCTACCGGGCCACCACCGATATCTACTGGTGAGGGTGGGAGGGAGTGGTATGGACTGTGTGGGTAGAGTTTTAACGAGTTCTACCGGCCGGCAACCAACGATACGAAATCTGCTGAAAAGGGTGAGTGACGCGGGTCTGTGTAGTTATACTGAGTTCTATGGGACTATCACCAAAGCGAAATACATTTTGTTTCGTTCAGTCTGACCCCCTCCCTCCCCGTCAGACTGCGGCGTTACGGCGGTCTCAGTCTGGGTCTGGTACACGACGTGACTCCACCCCAGTTTGGACAAGGCCTGTCGACCCGACTGAGACGCACGGCGGTCCGTCGACTGGCCAAGGCCTGGTTCAACAACAAGGGATTCCACGCAGTGCCGGCGTTTGTGAACGCCATCAACAACGCCGTGCTGCGGGCCAACCTGCCGGAGTCGGCTGGGGACCCGGCCGGATACGGTAAGAGGAGAGGCAGAGGGGATGAGAGGGAGGGAGGAAGGTAAATAAATAATGTGAGAGTGGGGGGAGAGTAAAGAATAGAGGCCCTCTATTCTCTAACTCCCTCTATTAGAGGGAGTTAGGCGGTCTGGAATGGAGGGACTAGGGAGAGAATGTGGGTGAGAGGGAAAGTGAACAGAGGATTAGAGGTGGGAGGAAGAGAATGAGAGAAACATCGTGGCATATATTTATCATAATCTTTAATTATCCTTTATCATAGCCTGTCCTTTTGCCGAACTAACTCGCCCCCGTTCTCTTTTCCTGGCCAGGTATCACGTGTGTGAACCACCCTCTGCCGCGAACGAGCACCTTTTTCCTGGAGGAGCAGATACGCCAGGGAACGGACGTGCTGATTGCACTAATGGTACTGGTGGCTCAGAGCTTCGTACCGGCCTCGCTGGTGCTAGCGCTGGTGCAGGAGCGGCGGCGGCGCACCAAGCATCTACAGCTACTCTGTGGACTGGACGGCACCGTGTACTGGCTGGCCAACTACTGCTGGGACCTGGTCAGTGGCAGAGGGGGTACACACAGACAGACAGACAGACAGACAGACTGTGTGGGCTGGACGGCACCGTCTACTGGCTGGCCAACTACTGCTGGGACCTGGTCAGTGGCTGAGGGGGTAGCACACAGACACACAGACAGACAGACTGTGGACTGGACGGCACCGTGTACTGGCTGGCCAACTACTGCTGGGACCTGGTCAGTGTCAGAGGGGAAATACACAGTGATTCAGGCTGGCAGTTACGTTGTTGAACCGCTCAGTGCTCCCACAGACAGAAAGCTAGGCACATACGCACACAAACGTAGACAGGCAAATGATGATGCCGGCTAAGCACATCTGTTAACCGTACTTTGTTATTGTCGAAACGCTTCTTAGGAGTTGAAAAAATCGTAATCTAGCATTGTGTCTTTACTGTTAAGGGTAATGAACCTTGAATGACACAAAGGTGGAAACTGGAAACCTATCCCTTTGAAATGAAGTTTTTCGCACCAGCGATCAAAATCTGTAACGACCTGACACTGACATCGGCCCGGCCAGGGACAGGCCAGGATAGCGCGGCTGTCACGGTTCCACCATAGGTTACCGCTGTGTTTGACGTGCCGAGGCCGGGTCTGCCACCAATCCCGGAGGTGCTGTCAGAGCTGTGTGAGGGAGAGGGGAGGGTGGGGGTGTCACTGCGCTGCCAGCGGGTCACTGTTCGGTGAATCCGGTCACCGTATACCGATCAGGGTCACTGCGTGACGTTCGCTGACCATCTGTCACCGATGACCTCCATTTCGTCAATTTGGGGGGGGGGGGGTATGGGGGGTAAAACTGGAGGTAATAGGTCACCACCAAATGTGACACTGCTAAATGAAAATCATTTGCGTTGAACTGTGTAGGATTGGCGGAGTCATGATCAGCGTCAGTAGGCTCATGAATATTTCCCGCTTTTACGAGAACATTAGCCTAATTGAACATTGCACTTATTTGAAGTTATAAAGTGCCATTTTAGCATATGCTCAATACGATTAACAGTGCCATCACAACAATACCACAATCGAACCAGCACCGGCATTGAATGCACATGTTCGCTTGAACTATCAGATTCGGCTCTGACAGAAGCGGTGGACGTGATTGACGTGTCATTTGAAGTTGCACGTGCCAGTTCTGGCTAGTCGGGTGCTGCAATAGGTTACTCTGAAAATATGGCGATTCCTTAATTCTTTGTTCTTTTTGTATTTAGTTTGCCAAGCTATATTATGTGTAAAAGATCAATGGCTGCCTACACGTAACTATAAAAGCTAATATCAAAACGTTATTTTAGTGATGTGATTTTTGCGATTTTTTTGCGATTTTAGTGATGTGATTTTTGCGATAAATGTCCCTATGATATTGTAATAATTCCGCCTTCTAATCGCTACCGACTACATATAAGCTGTTCGATTCAGAGAAAATGGAGTCAAATTGGTGTGGTTCGATGTTTGGTTCTTTGCCTTTGGCTGACTTCACTGCGCAGTTGGCACAGCTTATCATCGGCGCCGTGAATGTTCGTACCGTATCGTAGCTCGATATCTAGGACTGTGTCTCGTCTTTACCGCACCTCATTTTTTACCGCACCTCATTCAATATTTTTTTATATAATACCCTGGTACTTATTTGTACATACCTGTGACATATCCCCCGCTCTTATTCCCCCTCGCCTATCCGTCATACCGTGCCCTGTCTGTGTCAGTCCCAAATGTATTACGTCGCGTTACGCCGTGACGTCCCCCTTCTCCGGCAGCTGAACTGCTCCCTACCATCTGCGGCCTGTGTTCTCATCATCGTGGCGTTCGGCGACCCGGCATACGCGTCTGCCTCCAACCTACCGGCTGTGGCCCTGCTCATCTTCCTATACGGGTGAGTAGTTGTGAGTCACCAAATTACAATCAGGCCCTGCTCATCTTCCTGTACGGGTGAGTAGTTATGAGTCACCAAATTACAATCAGGCCCTGCTCATCTTCCTGTACGGGTGAGTAGTTGTGAGACACCAAATCACAATCAGGCGCTGCTCATACGGGTGAGTAGTTGTGAGTCACCAAACAACAATCAGGCGCTGCTCATCTGCTTATACGGGTGAGTAGTTGTGAGACACCAAATCACAGTCAGGCGCTGCTCATCTGCCTATACGGGTGAGTGACTCGATTCACTGAGTCTTGCTCAGGGCCGCTCATTCGACACACGTCCTTCCCCTGTGATGAGCGGTTATGGTTCACCACCACTACCCTCGCTTATGGCTGTGTGCTGGAGTGGATGAGCGCACGACAAAAGCGCAGAATAGTAGATCACATGTGCGACTAGTTCTGCTATGTTTCGTAACCGTTTAGGAACATTTAAAAGACGCATGTTTATTTCGAAGACACCGTCATACCCACACCGATATCGTTATCATTGCCTGATCTGTAAATATAGCAGACAGTGCAAACACAATACACATGTGCTTAGAAAATCAGTTGAAGACTCCTCTTGCTGTGGCAGGAGCCAGCCTGCCATTGCGAAGAAATTCGGGTGGTACCCTACAAAAATCTGCCCTTATAAAATGTGTAGCAACTTCATTCACTCCTGACGCAGGCTGTCATTCATTATACTGCGCAAAGCTAGGTTCACGCACACCTTGGTGGTGTATATTATCCGACGATTATGGCGTGATTTCAAGGGTGATTTCATTCTTACCCAATATAAAAACACCCCTTTGGCTCTACGAAGCGCCGCGACCGCTCAGAATATGCTGAGGTCGACCTTGGGTATGCGGTAGGACTGGCAGTCGACCACGGGGTTCAGCAGTGGGATGGGCCTGATGAAGGCCAGCGGCTGGACGCTGTCGAAGCCGGCGCCCACGTTGTCACAGAGTAGGCGCGCCATAGAGGAGCGGCGCAGCTGCTGCAGCTGCTGCCAGCTGAAGCTGCCCGCCTGGCCGGCCTGGTCGTAGAAGAAGCGGTCGCCGTAGCGCAGTCGCAGGAACTGGTCGGCGATCACGCAGCGGGCGGTGGGGCCGACCATGGCTCCCGGCGCCCGCTTCTCGAGATTGATACCGGCGAACAGGTCGACGTCCTGCCAGTGGGCGTACACCTTCTTGAGCCGCAGCACGTCCGCCCAGTTCATGAAGCTGAGGAAGCTGAACCAGCCGGTGATGCTGCGGGAACCGCAGGCGGCGGCCACGGTCGCGTACGTGGGCAGAGCGTGGTCGCGTCCGCGCTGAATGTTGGCCGCTACCAGGTCCAGCCCGAACGCTCCGAACTTGAAGAGATCTCCCCGCACGGCCTGTACGAACCGGCGGTCGAAGCTCTGCGGCCGCTGCTGGGTCATGCCGCGTGCCATGTTGGTGAACAGGCTCGTCACCACCAGCGAGTCGGGTCGGAAGTAGTTCTCGGTGAGTTTTAGCTGGTGCTGTAGTGTACCGTGCTGGGTTACCAGGCTGATGACGCCCTGCACTAGCGAGTGAAGACGGAACGCGGCCGTTGAGAACTCGGTGCTGATGTCGGGCCGCAGCGCCGGCGTGTAGGTGTACCGGCCGAAGCCGCGCAGGCCGACGCTGTTGGCGTACTGGAATCCGACGATGGTGGGCAGCCACTCGCGGTAGACGATGTGCTGCCACTGGGCGATGTTGATGCGCCGCGCCTGCTGGTAGAGACGCTCGTCACTCCAGCTCTTGTGGCGCGCTGCCAGCGCCGCCGCCACCCGGTTGTGCTCGCGCACCAGCACCGTGTGTAGCAGCGTCAGCAGCGTGTTCTCGTTGGCGCGCGTGTCGCCGGCCAGGAAACAGATGCCGCTGACACACTCGCCCGAGGGGGGCGGCTGGCGCGGCAGCAGGTTCCCCGTGCTCGTCTTCAGCCGCCCGCCGGTACTGGTGCGCAGACCGCGCGCCTGCTGCCGCTCGGAGCCGTACACCTGGGACAGATCCAACCACGTGGTGATGTCGTTCAGCTGCGTGGCCGGTCGCGGCAGACACTGCGGGTCCGGCGCCGGGATGCTGCGTACGAAGTTGTGGCAGCGCACGTTCCAGGTCTGGTAGAACGGGTCGTTGGCGGCTACTGGGATGGGGAAACACTGCGGGTGGAGCGGCTGAGCCGGGAACTGGTGGTTGGGCTCGCAGCACTCGATCGGACTGGTCGAGCCGTAACCGCCGCTCCGGTGGAAGATGGGAGATATGGAGAGGTCGTGATCGGCGAACTGACCGAACACGGTCACTGCTGTGGTGAAGAGCTGGTGCTGCACGCTGCTGGAACTCATCACCTGGGCGCTGACCAGCCGGGCGCTCGGCAGTAGACCGCCAGCCGCAGAGTGGATACGCGGCGAGTACACGCTGTCCCAGTAGGTGCTGTCGAAGAGACGGCGCAGACCGCGCAGTCGCCGGCCCCAGTGCGTCTGATACAGGTTGTTGCAGCTACCGTCGTACGTACGGTGAGGAGTGCCGCTGTTGCAGTTGAGCGGCTTCTCAGGCACGCAGACGCCGACGGGCCTCTGGATGCTGAGTACGGCCCGGGGCGCGCGGACATTACGGAAGTTAGTTGGACTGAATGAGGGCAATGTGGGGATGCCGATCCGACGCAGGCTGGAGGTCAGGAGCCGCGGCGGCCGGGTGACGCGAGGCGGCCGTGTGGTGCGCGGAGCCGCGGAGGCCGCTCTGGCCTGGACTCGCTGCAGAGTCTGCAGAGAGCGCGCCGCGCTGCGCTGTGCCTCTGGGGAAGTCCGCGCGTTGAGGGCGTTCAGTCGTGTGGTCCCGCTGGGCTCCCGGGGAGACTGTCTGGCCCGGACAGAGAAGAGGGCGGTCTGGTCAGGGACGGCCGCACTGAACTGACCCGGCCTGCGCGACCTGGCCGCCTGCTGGGGCACCCTCTGGTCGGCCGAGTCCAGCGGGAACTTGGTGAGGAGTCGACGGGCGCCGGTTGGTAGCGAGCCCAGATCACCGCCGCTTGTGCTCACTGTCCGCGGGGCCTGGCTCAGGAACGCCTGGCTCGCGGTGCGGGACGGAGCGCGGCGGGAGCCCTGCGCGGTCGCCGCCCGGGCCGCGGTGACCGCCTCCGTGGGACAGCAGACTCCCTGGCGACCGCCGTCCAGCTTACAGAGCTCGGGCGACTCGGAGACCACGGCCTCTGGACAGGCAGTGGGCTCCCGGCAGGTGCAGCCGAGGGCGGCACTGGATAGCGCCAGAAGCACAGCTAGACGGAGCAGTGAGCGGCCCATCACGGCCTACACACGGGGCACTGGTCTGGACAGAGACGAAGAGAGGACTGAGAATAAAGTACACGGATGGATAGACTAATAGCGGATAAGCAGACGGAGAGACGAGTAGACGAACAGACGGACGAGCAGTCTGTTTCGCTCCGTCCGAGAGGAGAGCTTCAGTGCGTCGACCGGCGGCGCCGGTGGTGCGTTGACCACTGACCATTGACCAGTGCGGGGTCTCGGTGCCCCTGTGACCTTATCGTTGTACGTCACAGCTTGCATAACGCCCACGGCGACAGGCCGCTGTTTGGAGGTTCCACTGGGGGCTCAGGGGGGGGGGGGAGGGTTTAGCGGTGTCCTCTGGTCAGTGGGCGCTGATTTGACAGTCGCTTCAGGAGAATGGAGTTTTAGTTTTACGGTCCGAATAAATTCACCGTGCAGATGATAATTACAGCTAGCGCTTGTTCTGGTTTCATTGTTGTTTGTTTTGTTTTTTTTTCGACTGATCAAAATGAAAAGCTTCCCCGAGATATTCTATTGAAATGATGGCGAACGTTTCCCGAGCTATTTGAGAGGATTTAAATCGTTACATTGGTTGAGATGTTTCGGTACTTGTGGTACGGCCCTCCAGCAAAAGAGTGGTTGGTTAGCCTATGTGCTTTTGGTGTAATAACTTTAAATGACAGAGACACTCCTGTAAAATGACTCAATAGAAATGAGAAGAGGGTTCGTGCACACATTTCGGCAGTGGTTTTCAACAGCCATTAGACGTATTCATCAATGCAGATCGATTATTATGATGTTGGCAACCAACCACTAAATACCTGGAGGGCCGTACATTCGTCGTTGCCATTCGTTGCTCATGATTCTTCGTTCGTGGCGTTTCGACTCCCCTGACCGAATCACACCCCCGTGTTCTTCGTCATGTTCTGCAGCTGGTCGATGACGCCGCTGATGTACCCGGTGACGTTTGCGTTCCGGGAGCCGGCCAGCGCCTACATTGCCGTCGTCATCTTCAACCTCTTCGTGGGCGCCGCTGCGCTTCTCACTACATCCATGTTCGAGAGTCTGGACGATACGGAGGTGAGAGCACTGAGGGGACGGGGCGGGGCGGGGCGATATGTTTTGAACGACTTGTGGATGTACATAAATACTACATCGGTGCTTTTTAATTTCAAAAGTTATTTTTTAAAGAAATTTTGTCCGAATTGATGAATCGGTGGCTGTGAGTCCGCTGTCCGGATGCCCTGATAAGCAGTGCCTGTTGTGAAAGACACCTCGGTGTGTGAAATTGGTGTGAAAGATTTCAAATATCATCCCACATCGCTCGCTGAGCCGGCTTTGTAACAGAAGCGCTATTTCTCTTATTTTTGACACTGCCAATTCGTAAAAACATTATACTTGAATGTGTACAAGTTACTCCTTATTTTGTGTTTCTTCATCTCGCATCAGCCAATGTTAGACTTTGTCAGCAGCTGTTGTAGGCTCCATCTCTTTCACAACTCGGTTGCTGATGGTGACGGATGATGTCCTTCCTCTCCAGGTGGTGGACGTGCTGAAGAAGATATTCCTGGTGCTGCCCAACTACTGCATGGGCCGGGGTCTGCTGGAGATAGCCTACAACCAGTACCACAACGAGTTCCTCACCAAAACCGGTGAGCCGACTTCACTGCCGTAACCGATTCCCTCAGAAATGGCCAAATCCGTGTGCTTCAGCGCATTATAACTATCTGTCGATATCTGATCATTTTATCTGTATCTGTTTATGCAGGCAGCTACTCCCGGATGCTGTCCCCGCTGTCCGTGGCCCGCCGCTATCTGATCTCTGTATCTGTTTATGCAGGCAGCTACTCGCGGATGCTGTCCCCGCTGTCCGTGGCCCGCCGCTATCTGATCTCTGTATCTGTTTATGCAGGCAGCTACTCGCGGATGCTGTCCCCGCTCTCTGTGGCCCGCCGCTATCTGATCTCCATGGCTGTGATGGCGGCCGTTGGACTGGTGGTCACCCTCACCCTTCAGCTCCGGCCGTTTGCTAGGTAATGTCAGATTCCCACATACTCCGCCGAAGGTTGGGGGGGGGGGGGGCAATATCGTGATGAGTCAGGTTCAACCAACAAATACATAGCGCAACGAGCTTCTTAGACTTGGCCCTAGGAAGGCCGCCCCGTGATGGTCGTAATGGACACATTCAAAAGCCTTTTCATGTTGCTTATTTATTGTGGGATAGTCCCTTGTCCGCGAATATCTTCAGAACTTGACGCACTAAAAAGGGAAACGGAAGGTTTTTAAGACAAATACTTCTAAGCGTAAGCGTAGCTCAGTGCTCGTATTCCTTTTTGAATTAATGTGCTGTCTTACGGCTATGTGTGATAAATATTTTCCATTCTGCTTACCGACTTGGGGTGACGCCTTGGTCAGGTTCCGCCCGTGCTGCTCCAAGCCTGAGGACTCTGCTCGGGAGGACGGCGTCTCCCCGCGGGAGGACGAGGATGAGGACGTGGCCGTGGAGGGGCGCCGGGTGACCAGTGGCGCCGCCAGTGGCGATATACTGAAACTGGAGCGGCTCACTAAGGCGTACCGCGGCGCCGGCACGGCGGTGGACCGGCTCTGTGTGGGAGTGGCGCGCGGAGAGGTGAGAGGGAGAGAGAGGGGAGGGACGAGGAGCTCGTACACAGATTGTAGCCGAGCGGTAGTGAAACGGACGGGCTCCCTGAACAGTGGCGAGCTTTATAGATTACGATGTATCATTTTCTTGTCATCATTCAGTGTAGGCCGTCGACCATGCAATCCATGGTTGTTTTCCATTCCATGTTTTTTTTTTTCGCCTGATGTGTATCGAAATTGCGTAGCCTTGTCATGGTATTAACATTTGTGCTTTTGCCGGCCTTATCACACTCCCAAGGCTCTTTTACCGAGCGCGCCGTACGCTTGTTGCAGTGTTTCGGCCTCCTGGGCGTTAACGGCGCCGGTAAAACGTCCACCTTCCGTATGCTGACGGGCGAGACGGCAGTGACATCGGGCGACGCGCTAGTGAAGCTGCAGCGCCGCTCGCCGCCGCTAGATGTCAGTGTGCGCTGGCGGCTGTCTGAGGCGCTCAGCGAGGTCGGGTACTGTCCCCAGCAGGACGCGCTGCACGGAGAGATGACGGTGGCAGAACACCTCCGCTACTACGCTAGGTAGGTAGACGCTGGGAGTCACTCGGGAGTGCTCTCAGTGGGGTGCACAGTAGGTCCTCGCCTCCTCCGACACTACTCCGGGCACTCTGCTGTGAATTCCTGCTCTGCTCTGTCCTCAGAAGTTATTTGGTGTTATTATATTGTCATCATTTCTTAATTTGACTGGCTCTCAGTTTTTTACAGTGTGCTTACGCTCCTCATCCCGCCGCGTCTGACTTTCCCTCCGGCATAGTGTCCGACACTGTGCCCCATCCCGGCCCCACTCCTCACCGACTCAATATCCTCTGCGGATTCGCCGTGTACCACAGCGTTCGTCTCTTTCGTCAGTGTCTGAGCCGTGCCGACACACTCCCTCTCCCTCAGTATATGACTCTTCAGTGGTCAGGTGTGCGGTGTATAGTCGACTACAGAATGATGTTCCACTCCTCAGAAGCTATCAGTTGACCGGAGCGCTAAGTTGTGCCGTTTATCACGCAATTAAGCGTGTCGATTGTGAGCATTGGGACAAAGCTATAATTTGTGAACTCAGCCCGTGTGATGCGGCACAGCCTACCACTCCAGGCAAATAATTGCCTGTGATAAGTGGAACATCATTCTGTAGTCGACTATACATACCTCTGTTGTCCCTTCTGGCCGAGGTGGCCACCCTGCTCTGTGTCTAACCCTCTCTCCTCTCGGCAGGATTCGCGGCGTTCCCCCGGCCTCCCTCCTGGTCGAGGTTGCCGGCCTACTCACCCAGCTGGACCTGACCCGGTACGCCGACCGACCGGCGGACGCCCTTTCCGGCGGCAACAAACGGAAACTGAGCACGGCGCTGGCGCTGGTCGGCGGACCGCGGCTACTGCTGCTGGTAAGTACAACGCCGTGCGTTCTGCAGCTAGCCAGTGCCGCCTTCGTCCCCTCCGCCGTCGTCGCTTCCAATTACCCCCCGCCCCTCTCAGTCCTTCTCTCTGCTAGCTTGGGGATCCGTCTTCTGTCTAGGTTTCGAATGATTCTCCACAGGTCAGCGTCCGGTCTAGGGTTTTCAGCGTCTCGTCCAGGTGGGCTCTCTTCTCGGCGGTGATCACCTTGTCGGCTTCGGCTCGCGCCTGCTGGTATGCCTCCATGTCGGCCCTGGTGCGGGATGGTTGCGTGGCCGTCCGGAGGGCTGCATCTCTCGCCTTCACTGCCTCTTCGCATTTATCGCTCCAGAAGGGGCCCTTCGCGCTTCTGCCGTTTCCAAACGGTATGTGTTTCCGTGCACTCGACGTGATGGCTTTCGTGATTTGTTGGTTGAGCTGGTTGATGGGGGTGTCCACGTTGATCTCAGACATCTTCTTGTCCAGGGACTCCCTGAATCCCGTCCAATCTGCTTTGCGGAAGGAGAACTTCCCCCTGCCTCGACGGGTCGGCGGCAGGTCGGCGGTCAGGGTGGTCCTGATCGGAAGGTGGTCGGACCCGAGGTTCGGCTGCGTGCTCCACTCCGCCGTCGCTCCGACATCAGCAGTGGCCAGAGTAATGTCGGGAGTGGAGAGTCCGCCCGTGGCTGGGTTGACGCGGGTATGAGAGCCGTCGTTGAGAATCAGCAAGCCAGAGTCCGTGGTCCACTCCTCGATCTGGAGGCCAAGATGTGAGGGACGCTGGTGGTGATCCCACGAGTCGCTGTGGGCGTTTACGTCTCCCATGATGATGCTGCTGGTTGGGGGCGAAAGTCTGGTGAGCTCGAGTGACTGTTCTTGGGTTCCTTGTCCTTCCGTCCATCTGGCCGGTGGGCTGTATATGTTCACGATGTTTATGGTCCTGTCTGATGTGTGTATGGCTACGGCTCCGATGTAGGTCGAGCAGTCTCTCTCGGGTCGGTATGGTACCGGTAGTGGGTCGAAGGCGAGGTCGTTCCGGGTCAGGATCACCACGCCCCCCTTGGCCCGCTCCAGGCGCGTACCGTCACGGTACGGGCCGAGCAGGGGCGGCGGGGGAGTGGTTCCCGTGTTGCGCTCGCGGCTCGGAGAGGTCACACTCCTTCGCTCCGTCCTCGAGGGCTCCCCATCACGGTCGGGGGTCCCGGGCGTTCGTTTGTCGGTGCAGGCTCTCTTGTTCCGGCAACCCCGGCAGCGGCGTTCCGGCGGCTCGCCCCTGGCGTGACAGGTCCTGGGTCGCGATCCGCCGGGCCGAGGGGTGTTCGGGGCCTCCGCCGGGTCCCGAGCTTGCCCGTCCCGGACGGCCGGCGCGCGCGTCGTCCGGTCGGTCACCGGAGAGATAGGCGGCCCCAGGTCTGGGGGGTCCAGGTTGCGCTCGGGCTGCACCGGCTCGTCCGCCCGGACAGCGACCGTGTATCCGAGTCTCAGGAGCTCCGCCGGGAACGGCAGGTCCGGAGGTAGGGTTGTCTCCTGGAGGTCGACCTCTCTGCTAGCTCCTTGTTCTGGTAAGAACCACCTGTCCATCTCCGTGGCTCTTGTGATCTGTGTGACCCTTTCCCTTTGCATTGTTAGATGAAATGCCAAGTATGCGTGCTTGTACCACTTATTGTCGTGTGGGACTGAATCTGACAGGTAATCCTTATACCCTTTATAACCTTCACTGACCCATGTAATATCGTCATACAGGCTACTTGTGGCCTCTGCTTAATATGATCTCTTACACCATGCCGATTGCCGATGTCCTAGTCTGCCCCTGCATAACCGTCGCTGACCCTATATGTGACCTTTGTCGTTCCCCAACAGGACGAGCCGACGAGCGGTATGGACCCGGCGTCGCGCCGTTTCCTGTGGGACCTGGTGCGCCGCCTGGTGTCCTCCGGTCGCTCGGTGCTCCTCACCTCACACAGTATGGCCGAGTGTGAGACACTCTGTACGCGCCTGGCGGTGATGGTGAACGGCCGGCTGCGCTGCCTGGGCAGCCCGCAGCACCTCAAACACCGGTTTGGGGATGGATACACGGTGACCATACGGTGCGGCGCCGGAGCCAACCCGTCCGCCGTCGATACGGAGCTGAAATGCCGGCTGCCGGTATCCAGACTGAAGGTGGGTGGAACTGCAGTGCTGCGGGGTGGTTCGTGGGGCTATCCGTAACGGCTGGTGAGATGTTTTGGAAAGTTAGATGGCCTATCCCTTGTTAGGTGGTTTAACACGCGCAGTGGAAGGGTTGCGAGTACTACGCCCAGTGGAAGGGGGGGGGGGCGGATGTCGCCCCCCCCCCCTAAGATCTCAGCTCCCACTGAAGCTAGAAAGACGAAATTTGGAGGGTAGGTGGGGGCCATGGGGAACTCTGTTGTGTGTGAATTTCACGACCCTAGGTCAATATCTTCAAGGTCAAATGAGGTCAAATGTGGTCAAATCTGCCATATGAGCGACTTTTTTGCGTTTACACGCCGATAACTCAAAAAGTTACCGGCCGATTTTCTTTTTTCTTTCTTTATGCGAAAGACCAAACATTTGTGAGTATGTATGGTGAATTTCTAGTTGATCCAACAATAAATATGGCAGTTAGAAGCCTGCTAATGGTAAGATGTCGCCGGCTGAAGCGGGATCGGCCGACGCGGGAAACGCGGCAATCACAATTATGTGTTTACACACTCATAACTCAAGTTATTACCGGCCGATTTTCAAAATTCTTTGACCATATGATTGCCTGTACATTTCTCAGTCTTCTCACCAAATTTGACGCGAATCTAATGTAATCAGCGGTAAGGAGCGCGATGTAAAAACGGAACCGTCCCGCCCCGGCACAGTCTACAATTCAGGCGGCGCGTAACGGCTAGCGCCGGCCGCCGCGCCGCCGCGCCGCCTCCGCGGCAGGATATTTGACTTTACACTGCTATTATTATAAAAATTGTGAATCGATTTTCTTATTTCTTGCATGGGAAGATCTGCAATTCAATTCTGGACAGGTAGCCAAAATTTCACATTAATATTATGTTTGCGGCGCGAGTTATTGGCGAAAAACAGGAGGGGTGGGCGGAATCCGCCCCCCCCCCCCTTCACTGCGCGTGTTAAAGTAATGTCTGTTTTCGCTGTTTTGAGCGACACCTTTCCTCCTGGTCGGACTGCTCTCGTTTCAGTTATTATCCGCACTAATCTATTCAGTCAGCTTTGGAACCTCAGCAGCTACCGTCTGAGCCCTGGCTTGCGCTGACCTGACCTGACCTGACCTGACTAGACCTGACCTGCCCTCCCTGTGCCCAGGAGTGCCACCTGGACGTCTGGACGTACGAGGTCGGCGTGGGCTCGGCTGAGCTGCCCGACCTGCTGCGGCAGCTGGAGAAACTGGCGGCCGACTGCGACATCGACGACTGGTACATCTCGCAGAACACGCTCGACAGTGTGAGTAGGATATGAGAGAGGGAGAATCGGACTGTATTGTATCACACAGTGTTGATGTATATCATAATACTCATCATGCGTGTCTTCAAATACCCTGGAGTGAAACGTTATATTTGTACGTCTTGCAGAACTGACTGCGTGGGCATGTTTCGCATAGCACACTTGGCCCTCGCAGAAAACGCTGGAGTATTTCTTGTGACACCCTGCTTTGTGCCAATTGATATAGATCCGCTCTCTGCTAGCTTATCTCTAATGGAGCAGGTAGAGAGTCATCCGACATACGACACGTATTTAGGCTAGCCCCGTTACTCTGTCTCTGTGTGAATCTCAGCCACGTTTTCATCTCGACCTAAGTTCATACTTTCTGTTTGGTTTTCAGGTGTTTGTCAGCCTGGCCCGACACCAGAGCGAGTGTGTGCCAGAGAAGGGAGAAGCCGAAACGGAGCTGACGTATGTATGACGTCACCCGCCGGTCTCAGGTGTGACGTCACCTGCTGACCTATGTATGACGTCACCCGTCGTATGATCAGGTGTGACGTCACCTGCTGACCTACGTATGACCTCAAATATTGGCCAAATGTGACGTAATCTCTGCAGAGGACTGTATCTGGGATCTTCTGCCGCTGACCTGAGATCTTACTGACCAACCAACTGAGGAGAAAACAGAACGATATACCTACTGATCTGGTTCGCGCCTATCAGCAGCTACGGCTGCTTACTGACTGAGGCTGGCGTGATCGTGTTTCAAGAGAAAACTGCCGTGAAGTTACATCCCCTTTCTTTCAACGGAAGCCAGAACGGAGGGCCATGACTGGACCTCCGTTTAGTTCGCAGGTCCAGTTCAGCACTGTATACGATCTCCAGTTTAGGTTTGCCAGTTGCCAGTTCGGCTGTGGTAGGTCCGTTTGAATTCCAGTAGCAGTAGCGGTTCTTAGATGGATCGTCCGCCACTGACCAAGCGTGAGAAGATTCCGAAAAGTAATCGAACAGCCCACCTAGCCGTGTACCCACTCATTTACCATCATTTGCGTATGCAAACACACATTGCTGTGCTCGATTCACTGGCGATTGATGGATAGCTCAAGGGATAGCTTACCTACTTGTGTTATCCTACGGTTTAAATGTAAAATTCAAGGGGTCTGTGGGTGATCTGTGGGTGCACTACAGAGGGGTGTGATGCTGGTGTGTTTATCTTTAGTGTTTTGCGGTTTATGTCGCCGATTGTTTTCTATGTTATTTGCTATCCAATGCAGCCATCTTTCCACGTGTTTGTGTGTTTTTTTTTAGGTGTTGGTGTCAGGTGTAGTGTATTCCGATCAATGTTGTAACATTCCCTCAAGCAGTTGGATGACAGTGTTTGGTAGTTATATTTCTGACACCACGTATGCAGTTGTCCTTCAATCAGTGTTCTATTGCATGCCGTTGTTCGGTGTACCAGTGTCTTTGAAGCATCGATAGCTGTCGGTGTCAGTGTCAAACCGATTTCAGCAGTACATACCTTCCCAATAGTCTCAGGAAATAGTCTCTTTTGTAGCAGCGTAGTGATGGTAGGGTTAGTCATGGTGATCATGTACGATATTCCAGATCAGTGATTGTACCAACGTATCCTAGTTGCTGTATAGTCGACCATTGGTGTAAACTCGCTGTGAAGACGGTCGCGTTAGCTAAATTTGTGGCACCGTACGTACCAACCCAATGCAGTGGTCAAGTTGGGAGTAGAACAGTAAGTCGCGGCCTCCTCCGGAAATGTTTCGGTTGCGACCTAAGATCACAATGACAGAGAGCCAGGAGATCCTCGCCAAAGAGCCAAGAGAACTACAAAAGTCACCAAAGAGCTGCGCTACGCTGTGGGGTTAGTTATGATTTGTACCGGGGTTCCAGATAGGCCATGTTTGTAGTGTGTTCAGTGGGAGGTGTTTTTGTGATATTTATCAGCACATACCTCATTACCGCGTCGATGTGCAAACCCTGTGATGTGTGTGCCACTTTGCGAATATATTTGTGTCCTGCACAGCTTTGGGTGTTTCTGTGAAAAGCGATGAAGTCCTAGCGCATTGGTGAGAGCTTGATGGACCACGTATATACGCATCGGGCGATACTGATCTCAGGCAGCTTTTGCCAAGTTGTCAGGGAACTCAGATTTGTTTTTCAATAGAAAAACACAATTCTAACGATAGTGTTTTAACTATTGACAACAAACCTTCGGTTATGAGCTCTAAACCTCTACTTCACATATCCGGACAACTATAGGAATTACCCGATCGGACCGTGCCGAAGTCGGGCCAGATCGGGCTTGAACAAATTGCTGGCTCTACTTAGCTACATATCAAGTCGTTCATTGGAAATATTCGGATAAAAGTTGAAAAATAAAAATATCCTAGGTCTGCTGTTTCATTTCAATGCATGCCATTCCAATGCAAATTAATGCGACCGTCCCAGTCGAAACTAGCCGGCTGGTAAACCCCAGTTCTCAAGATGGCGCGGCCCTCACCCTCCCCTCCCAGTTATCCCATGCTGACCGTCCGCTCCGCCGCCGCCGCCGCCTCCTCCTCCCTAGCTAGCCCATGCCATCGTCCCCCCCCTCCCCCGTCTCCCTCAACTATCCCAAACTCCACGGCCGTCCGCGACTGCCTCTCCCTCCCCAACTATCCCATACCCACCGTGCGCGCCACGAAACCCTCCCCTCCCCAGCCTCCCTTCCCAGCGCGGTCACCTGTGCCCGATTACCGAGTCCCACCTGGCGCCGCGTGCCGTATTATCGAGTCACTCCGAGCGCCGGCGGCGTGGAGCCTCCAACCGTAACGGTGCGACCGGCCCCGGCCGGCCCGGTCTGCGCGGCGCGTCCGGCGAGCGACCTGTTTGTCAGTCGCTGAGGCCGGGCAGGGATAGAGCGGAGTGGTTCTGCGGCCAGTCTGTCGGCGCGTGGGAGTGAGCTGAACTGCTGGACTGTGAACTGAGAGCTGGAGCCGAGAGCTTTTCTATCGAGTTACAGCGGTGTGATAGCGGCCGACTGTAGGTGCTGAGTAAATTGAATCGACAACGCCCGCACCCCAGCCGCCGCCATGGGATCCGGCTCCAAGCAGGCGCTGGACTATTCGTCCGACTCGGCCGACAAGTATTCGGCGCGCTACCTGCGCAACAGCAAGGCGATCGGCGTGCTGTGGGCCGTGTTCACCGTGTGCTACGGCATCCTGAGCGTGGTGGTACTGGTGCAGCCGCAGTGGGTGGGAGACACGGCTGACTCGCCCGGCTCCGGGTACTTCGGCCTCTGGCGGCACTGCGTCTACTCCAGCGCACTGCAGGTGAGTACTGCTTCGGCATCTGGCGGCACTTCAGGTAGGTGCTACTTCGGCCTCTGGCGGCACTGCGTCTACTCCAGCGCGCTGCAGTTAGGTTACACTGTCTTCTCCAGCGCACTGCGTCTACTCCAGCGCACTACAGGTAGGTACGGTGGAGGCGACGATTGGTGGGTCTATAGGTGTCTATAGGTGTCTATTACTATACTCACTGTGTCTATAGGTATAGGTGGTTTTAAAAACGCAACTTGAGTCAATGCTCAATATTTTCTTTACGTATGCTCATGATGTATCAGCTATGATGCGATGTTCAAACGTGCTGGAAGGCAGAGTAGGTACCTGCTTCACGTATATGTAGCACAAATAAAATATGGCCGCCCTTGTGCAACCCACCGGCCTGCCAATTGGTTTCTATGCGTGTTGTCGGAGCGGTGAATTCTTCCGTTCGCTGCATTTTCACAGTCAATAATGGTTTTCCGGTGGCTTGTGACCCGCAGTCACGCACGTTTGTGTGCGGATGTGCCAGCAGTGCTCATCCGCTTCCAACCTTGCCAAAAGGACGGAACCAATGGATTAGGGTGACACTTATTTGTAGGGGGAAATCCAAAAATGAAAATTTCAACGCGCGAAAGCCTGCACATGGTGTGAAACCACGAGAAAACACCTCCTGTGAAGTTTCAGGTCAATCGGACATATTTAAGAGGTGCCCCAAAGCCATTATGGCGCCTGATGCCCTCTTCTGCTTCCTCCCCCCGCCCCCCCCCCAACACGTTGCATAGCTCGAGCCTCGGCGGTGACCCCGCAGATTACAGCTGCGCTCGATCGAACAAGAACATCTGATCGGAGTGCTGTCCACATCCTCCACGCTGCTGCTGAGGCGTACAACCCAATCCCCCAGAACCTTGTAGTCAACCGGGAGTCGATCCGACGACACCGGAGGCGCGTCAGGGAGGATATGGCGAAGGAGATCCGGAAGACGTTTGCTCCGGGCGTACCCGTCGTCGTCGTCCATTGGGACGGAAAGATCGTCGCCGATATCACCAACACAAAGGCATCTGAGCGCCTTCCCATCCTCGTTTCTGGGGATGGCGTTAACAAGCTCATGGGAGTCCCACGCTTGCCCAGCAGGAAGGGTGACGATGTTGCCACCGCGGTTGTCAGCTGCCTTGAGGATTGGGGCGTCGCCGAACGCGTTTTGTGGGAATGCCTTTAGACACTACCGCTTCCAACACCGGCGTGCGCGGCGGAGCTTGCACTTACCTCCAACAGCGACTCGGGCGGAATCTCCTCCACCTGACTTGCCGGCACCATATTCTTGAGATCGTGGCCAACAAATCGTTCGGCGCCTGTCTCGCACCGTCGTCTGGGCCCGATATCCAACTATTTAAACACTTCAAGCCGAATGGGAATCCATCGACCAGGCGATGTTCGAGCCAATCGAGCCGATCCCGTCCACCAGTGACGAAGTCCGTATGTTCTGCAAGGAGAAACTTCAAAGTACGCAGCCTGGGGATGAACATCGAGAACTCCTCAACTTGACGACCGTTGTCTTAGGTGGCGTTCCCCCTGGAAGAATCAGGATGTCCAAGCCCGGAGCCTACCACCGCGCTCGCTGGATGGGCAAACTGATATACGCATTGAAGATCTTCTTATTCCGCGGACAGTTCAAGCTCACCAAGGCGGTGGAGAAGAACTTGGCCCGCTTCGTCCTCTTCTTCGCGACGCTGTATGTACCGGCGTGGTACGAAGCCCCGCTGGCAGCCCGTGCTCCGGCCCAGGACCTAGCTTTCTATACCGCTCACTCTTATCCTACGAGGACGAGGAAATCGCAAGGGAAGCATCGAAGGCATTTGGGCGACATCTCTGGTACATCTCCGAGGAGCTGGTGTCGCTCGCTCTGTTCGACTTGAGGACCACGCTGGATGAGAAGAGGCTGATCGTGGCTGCCTTTGGCCGCGACGGCGCAGAAGATCCGTCCAAGCGGATTTCACTGGAGCCTGACCTGACTGTACTGACGAGGAAGACGCTGCCGGACTTTGCTTCGTCAAGCTCCAAGTTTCTCGTGGACGCCCTTGGCCCGTCGGACTTCCTTGAGGTGAACCCGGCCGAGTGGCCGGAACGCCAGGGCTACCAGCTCGCCCGCCGCCGAGCCGAGTCCCTCAAGGTTGTCAACGATTTTGCCGAACGGGGCGGGGCTCTGATTCAGAGCTACAGTGCCATCCTCACGAAGGATGAGGAACAAAGACAGTCCCTTCTCCAGGTCGTCGAGGAACATCGACGTCGTTTCCCCGACGTTCGCAAGTCGACACTAGATGAGTAACTGTGATTGGGATTTTGGTTCCTATGAGACCCCCCAGTGAGGGTCGAATGTACGCAGGTCAGCATGGTGTGCTTTTTTGTGTGCCAGGTGTGCCTTTTTTACTTTTTGTCGGGGAACATCGGCGCTTCCCAGAACTGCGCTATTCGACGTTAGCTGAGCAGCAATGAGTGGGATTTAGGCTCCCATGAAACCCCCAGTCAGAGGCTACTATACATGACGCCGCTCAGGGTGGTGTGCCTTCATGACAGCGCGGGCCAGGTGTATCTTTTTAACAAATTGCTATCGGTTGTTGGATGGGTGGGAATTTTTTATCGACGTTTTACACCCCCAACGATCCGTTTAAAGCCAAATTGCATGCGTACTTTATCAAAAATTGAATTAAAATTCGCTATTTGTTTTTTGTGTATGTTTCCAATAAATTAGCTTTGGGGCACCTCTTAAATATGTTCGATCGATGTGAAAATTTACAGGAGGTATTTTCGCATGGTTTCACACCATATCCAGGCCTTCGCTCCTGAAAAATCAAAATTTCAAAAATAAGTGTCACCCTACAATGGATGCATGCCGGCTGATTTGGAACGCGAAAGGCCGCAGCGAGCCGTGAAAGCCGCCCGAACAACATTGCTGCCGATCGGGAAGCGGGTCACTGCCGGCCGGTTCTGGGGAGGGGTCGGGTAGGTGGGGAGGGGAGGGGAGGGGTGGAGCGCTGGCTGCTGCAGCACTGACGTCCAAGGCCAGTGTTGTGCCGCGCGAACCGGGAGGCTGCAAAGTTGCCCCGTCCCGTGGCCGTGAGAGGCGGTTTATCGTGATCATCGGACGGGGCTGCACCCGAGGTCATCTAAAGATTGAGCTCACGACTGTGCAGGCGACGAAAAATCGCGTAAACACAATCTATTGGAGTAAACACAACTTTTAAACCTACAAGAATGCACCAATTCTTGCTTCGTGATGACCTATCCCGAAAGTCTGAACCTTTCCCGGCCGGTGGCCGTGGGGATCGTAGTTTTGGTGCCATACCCTTTCCTAATGGCTCGGAACGTGTTACTGAGAAAAACGTTAGCTTTTGGCATGCTTTTTATGCTTTGGTATAAAAAGATGAAATGGCGCCTGAGCATGAAGAACACGATAATGCAAAAATCGCGGCTCTACGACCATTTTAGGCGAAACTATTTGCTAAAAGCCGAACATGTAGGTACCTTGATTCACTTGACCTGATCTCAGAAGTCACCGGTCAGCCTGAGACCTTAACCCGCGACCTGGTGGGGGGGGGGGCTATTTTTTGCCCCCCCTCCAGACTTTTCGATATATCTCCAGAACCGCTGCGCCGATCGTCACCAAACTTTCAGTACCCTCCCGGACATCAATTTTACACATTGTGACCAAAAATTTTTCCAAAA